TAATTTCTCCTTACCAGTAAATAGCTGCTCAAGCCGTCCTCAGCTCCAGAGAGGTGCTTGATGAAAACGGCAAAGAATTATGCGTCCAACCCCCACCCCCACCTGGCCCATTTTCCAGCTGTCTGAGGCCTCTCTGAGTCTTGTGTAGGATGGTGAGCTGTGCAACACCGCTCACCTCTTACCACTTGCCCTGGCCTTCCCGTGACCCCTGGCTGCCGAGGGACCGTCCTGCTGGGTTAGGGCTGCTTGTCACGATGTTGACCCTGCTGAGCAGTGACGGCCACATACTCTACTCTCCCCACATTCTTCTGCCTCGTCAGTGCCCCCCATCTCTTGGAAATGGAACCCGGCCACCAGTGACAGCCCTCCCACAGGCTCTGTGCCCAAGCAGCTGCCTTCTTCGTGCTTCTTTGGGGACGGGAGTTAGATGCAGGGCTGCCCTTTCCGCAGAGTGGAGCCTTCCCGGGAGTGGATGCCTGCAGCAGGTACGCCTCAGGTGCCTTGCCGACGCCTGCTGTGTCAGGCTTTGCGTGTCTAAAGGCATGTGAGGCCAAGTGCAGACATCTGCGTTTGTCCGGCTGTCTGTGTGTGCTCTCTTTTCCGTTGCCAGCCCCTACTTCTCTGCTTTTTATTTATTTAGTGCTTTTTATATTTTATTTCTTGTGACCACCTGTGTTAAGGGTCCAAAGTTGTGTGATTACAAACACTTCTGTGATGACTAGAGGCCACAGGCCTCTTTAGAAGTCAAAGCTCCCGGGACTCCCCTGTGCCAGCGCAGTGGGGACTGGTGGTCACAGGGGGCTTAGATCAGGGGGCTTAGATAGTCAGTGTGCAAATGATTGGCACCTGCTGTTCCAGTGGGGAGGGGACCCTCCGTGGGGAGGGGATGCATTGGACTTTCCACGTGGACATGCTCTTCAGCTTGGTTCCCTTTCTTCTGGACAGTGCAGTTGTGGATGTCACTAAGAAGGTTCCTTTAAAATTCACTTAATGCAATTACATTTTGCAGTCGAACACAGCTGGCTTCCCCTAAGAAAATGTGTATTTCGATAATGGTTATTACCAGGACAATGAATAATTGACTAATAACAGCTCATTAATATTCTAGCAGGGAGAGTGCCTGAGGCTAATAAAATTCATTTTAAAATTAGTTTTAAAAACTGGGCTCTGCAGCTCAAGGGTAACGGGAAGTTCCTCCAAGCAAGAGCAAAGCAGTATGGTAGGAGATCTTACTGATGTGTTCGCATGAACAGGCTGGTCAGCAGCGCTTGCTACCCCGCTACCTGCTCATCGTGGCAGGGAAGCGCTGCCTGTGTCTGCAAGACCCTTGACCTGGGGGTTGCCGGCCTGAGGAGGGTTACTGCGCGAGGGCGCGGCAGGAGTGGCTCTGACATGGGTGCCGGGTCCTTCTGGGTGGGCCTCCTCTGGGAAGGCAGTTCCTTGCTCCCTCTTTCTCTTTGGGCCCTCTTCTGTGATGACTAGAGGCCGTGGGCCTCTTTAGAGGTCAAATTTTGCACTTGCATGGACTTTTTTTTAAGCTAAACTTTTTACCTTGAGGTCTTTGTAGGTTCACTACCGTTCTCAGCAGGACTGCCCTTTACCCAGCATCCCCAGCAGTAATGACTTGTACTGTCACACTGATAAGGGCAAGCTACAGAATATTCCATGACCACAAGGATCCTTCATGAAGGGCTTTGACAGCCACCCACTTCTCTTGCGCTCCTCTTCCCTCCTCGCTGCAAACATGAAATCTGTTCACCATCTGTACTCATGGGGTTCAGAGAGATAATCTGGTCTCTGGCCTTATAAGTGACAGTATGTATGCATATGACAGGGGGACAAGGACTTTGGGGTTTTGGACCAGGCAAAGAAGGCTTCTTACTGGCTGTGGATCCTACAAAACGCTTGCGCATATTATTGGCCTTCAGAGGAAGCGTGCTGGTGTCATAAGTGTGTGAGTGTTGAGCCCCCCTGCTCTGGGTCTGCGTGAGTCGTCTGCCTGCACTTCTCTGGGTGCTGTGTGGCTGGAGGGGCAATAATAACTGATTAAATCCGTGGCCCTTAACAAGCAGGAGCTGACTACTTGGTGCTCTACCTCTCCTTCCTCAGGACGAATCTGGGCTACCACTCAGCTGCTCAGGTCATCAGGAGTTACACGGTGGAAGTGGGAGATCTGGGTTAATTACTTGACTTCTCTTCAAATAGATGTTATGGAAGTGTTTGCTCTGCAGATCCTTTACCCAGCAGAGGCAGGCAGCACGTGGAGAAAAGGAAGAGGTCCTACCTCAGCCTCACTCACCCAGCAACACTCAACCCTCGTTGAGCTCTGAGCTCTTGCTTGGCTGCATGCACTCTTGAGCAGCTAGGAGTGAGGAACAGGCTTCTTGCTGCCAGCGACAGCCAGCCACACGTGACCGAGGAGCTGAACTGGTCGTGCATTCCATTTGGCCATTTTAAATCGAAACAGCCACGTGTGGCTGGTGGCTGCCGTGTGGTAGCACGGAGGCCCCAGGTTGCCCGTTGGGGATGCCAGAGCCCCTTCACCCCTCTCTGTGGAGCCAAAGCAGAATTGTTTGGCACAGTGCACTCAGGTCCCCTGGCGGCCCCTTCTCCTGATCCTGCAGCAGTCTCTCTAAAACACTGTTGAGCAAACCTTTCCAAACCATTAGTTTGAAGAGGAAGCAAATAATTAGCCTTCCTGGACAGTGGCCACATTTGTGCCGGGCTGGGCCAGTGCTTGCTCACTCGTGCTGAGTCAGTGCTGGCAAATGAGATACACTCCCGCTTCTCAGACTGCAGCTGCTCCTGGGGCTAGTGTGGGACCTGTCCCCACCTGCATCTCTGGGTCCCAGCTTCCTTTCACGGCACTCAGACTGTGTTACCTTTTCTTTCTGGAGAGGCATGTAGGGAAGCAGTCATTAAGCATGCACGCCCTGGAATCAGGTTCCTGAGTTGATGTGACCTTGGACAAGTTCATGAACCTCTCTGTACCTCCCTTTCTGCACCTTCAAGGTGATTGCTGTAGTAGCTCCGCCGTCCTAGGGTGATTGGACCGAGTAAATCCAAGCAGTGTGCTTGGTTCACAGTAACTGCTCTGCTGACTGTCAGCTCCTGGTGACTGATGACTGTAAGGGTGAGGAGGAAAGTTTTGGGGAGGGGGGTGGAGATTTGGCGGCGTGGTTCTTGCAAGTGGCCACAAGGGGGCAACCTAAAATCACGCGAGGCCCTGGACCAGTCTTCTGTGGGTAAAGCCTGTAGGTAATATGGCCAGTTTCAGATGTGTTTGGCCCTTCCCTTCTTTTTTTTTTTTTGTCTTCTGCTTTAAGAACATCTTCAGTGGCTCTCAGGCAGCAGCGTAGGTCCGAGTTGGGGCTTGCCCACCAGCTTCCAGAGGGTGGCATGGGTGACAGTGAGCGCAAGTGTCTATGGGTAGACAAGTTGATGTGGACGCTGACGCGGCCTCTGTCTAGGAGTCCTCAGCATCACTGTATCTTTTCATGCGGAACGAACTCCTGAGGTAGAGATGAAGGACTGCACATGCTTAGAGGAAAGAGGACCCTGGTTATATGGCTGCCTTGGGGTCTCTGGGAGACAGTGATGCCGCCAGCGGGCAACTAGGGATGTGTAAGCCACTCTCTGCCCTGTAGCCGCTCCCTCCCCCGAGGGAAGCCGGGCTGGAGCACATCTCTGCAGGCAAACAAAGTGTGCCAACCATATGTGGGCACAGGCCATGGGGCGTGGGAAGTTTGGACTGCGAAAAGGATGGCGTTTCTACAGGTGCTGGGCGGGGGTGACGATGGGAGGAAGACCAGTGGTGAGGTCACGTTGGGAAAACAGCATGGGGCCAGACTGTGGAGCCAGCCCCAAGGAGCGAGCGCAGTCAGGCCTTTCCACCCTAGACGGTGTTCTTATCTTGGTAGCCTCATCGTGAAGCGTTGCTGAAAAATGGACATGGGCAGTGGCGCTTGTTGTCACGCCTGCTTTTTCAGTATTGTCCTCTTGGGCTTGACCTATCCCTGCTGCAAGATCAGCTCTTGGGGCAGTGTGACTGCCCTGTGTCCGCCGCATCCCTCTCTGTCCGTGTTCCCGCAGCCTGCACTGCAGTCCTGCAGCTACATCCCTCTCCTGGACCCGGGCAGTGCAGGGAGGTCCCTGCAAGCTGGCTGGGAGAGCCAGGCACATGTGAGGTCAGCGCGTGGCACTGCCAGGCAGGCAGGCTCAGGCACTGGGAGCCTGGGTCTGGTTGTATCAATACCAAGGCCAATTTCTCCAGAACGTTGTGCGTTAGGTTATATGTAAACACTGCTCATGACTGGCCAGTTATAACACTGATGGTAGATTACTTGTATTTCTGACAGGGCCAGGAAGATAACTTTAATCTCTCACTTAGAAAGCACTTTGGGCTCCTGCCAAAGATGGCACGTGATGTGGAGCCCCCGAGATGCTTTGGGGGTAACTGCTATTTGTTCCATTTAGTTTGTTTCATACAGTCAAGTGACAATCAATCAGCAGCACATTATATGCCTTTGTGCTGCTGCAATACTCAGATGGCCGTGAGAGCAGATGCAGGAGAGAGTGAACTTGAGTGTGACCTTATTTCACTGTTCACCCAGGATGCGCCTCAGTGGTCTCCAGCAGCTCCTTCCAGACGGTAGCGGCTCCCCTCTGTCAGTCAGTGACATCCCAAACTGTGCCTGCTTCTGTCCTTTTCCTTCCCCTGGGAGAAGGCTGGGGGAGGCTGCGTGGATTTTTGCTCACTGCCTGGCCTTTGTCACTTAGCACTTCTGACCCCTGCAGGGCCAGGTAGGGTGACAGAGAACTGGGGAAAGGGCTGGAGTTCGTAGAGGACAGCTTGGAGGGTAAGTGTGGGGGTATGGGCTGCACCCTTAGGTTGGCCACTTGTGGTGGGGTGAGGGGTGGCCCAGCAGCCTGGGTGCTCAGTGAATAGGCAGAGTAAGGAAGTTCATCATATTTTCTTTTTGTTTGTTTCTATTTGTTAGGCATGGATGGGTTTTTAAGATCCGATGAGAGACAAAGACTAGCCAAAGAAAGACGAGAAGAAAGAGAAAAATGTCTCGGTAAGTTGTGCACTTTGGCCATTTGGGTGCGAGGAAATGAATATTGATGGAGTCTTTTCTGAAGAGCCTTAGAAGTTTGTGGCTGAGTGGGGAGGCAGTGTTTCTAATCTAGTACAGATTCTGTACTGTCACGTTTATAAGTTACTAAATAAGCTTCAGAAGTTATTTACTCACTTGGCAAGCACTGACCCTCCGCTGCATTCTGGGCCTGTACTAGGGTCCTGGGTGGGGTGGTAACAAAAGAGAAACCGCCATTGGCCCCACCCCTTCAGGTGACCATCCTGGGTTGACACTGGGCTCTCTTTGGGCCATGCAGAGGGGCTGTCTTTGGGAGAATGGAGAAAATTGCAATGAAGACACATGCAGTGAGGACAGAGAGCCCATAGAGAAAGGCTGTCTCACCTTTTGCAGGCTACAGACATGAGTATGGTTCGTTTCCCACAGGGAGCCACGAGGGGAGTGGACAGCGATTTCCCTGCTCAATTGAGACAAATGAGCTTGCAAGTTTGTTTTCCGACTGCCTCCTGCTGGCTGGTTCAGGCATTGCATCCTCCTGGGGCCTCTCCCTAACTGGGCCAGGTGCAAAGGCCAGCCTTCTGCCTGCTCCCTGCCTGGACAGCTGCCTGTCTGGTGTGGGGTGCAGTGTGTGCCTGGACACCGTGGTTTTCTCATCCCAGTATATGGCTGAGCCATGGTGACCAGTCCTGCTCTCAGAAGCAGGACTAGTCATAGCTTCTATGTGGAGGCGCATGACCCCACCTTGAGGCCACCGTTGTGACTCTCCCCACTCTAAGGGAGGAGGAAACTGAGGCAGAGGGATTCGTGGTTAATGTGCCCAAGGTCATCCATGAGTGGCAGAAAGCCAGAGCCCTTCAAAGCTCACAGACTTCTTTCTGGTCTCACCGTGGCTTCTCCATTTCGGTGCTCAAGTGATAATGTCTCTTCTTTCCTTTTTCCAGCTGCCCGAGAGCAACAGATCCTGGAGAAACAGAAAAGAGCCAAGCTCCAGTACGAAAAGCAAATTGAGGAGCGATGGCGGAAACTGGAAGAGCAGCGGCAGCGGGAGGACCAGAAGAGGGCTGCTGTGGAAGAGAAGAGGAAACAGAAGCTCCGGGAGGAGGAGGTAAGATCCTGGGACCCCACCCCTGCCCCTCTGCCTTGGCCCTGGTGGGTCACCAGGCCTTCTTCACAGCATGGCAAGATCCATTGGGAGCTGCACAGATACAGGAACAGTAAGGCTTGTCAGGTATCCATTTGCTGTGTGACTTTGGACGGGTTGGTTGGCCTCTCTGGGCCTTGATTTGCTTGTTTCTGAGGTAAAGGTGTTAGATTTGGCCCTCTCCTCTGACTGACGCTCAAGGGGCTTGTGGATAGGGACTGCATGACATAGACCTGAGGGATGATACTGGGGGTCTGTTCCTTGAGGCATGGCATGCTTGAGGCTAGGAGAGGGCTGTGAGGGTAGAGAATAACATGGTCTGTCATTCGCTTCTGGAAAATGAGATCCACTCAAATACAAACATGCTGGTATATTTAAATTTTAATGCAATTCCTTGCTTTAATCATTCTGTTTCCAGTTACCAGTTTTTTTTTTTTTTAAAAGACATGGACTGTAATTACCCCTACAAAGTCCTTTATTACTAAACTTTGAAAACATATTTAGAAAGCATATTTGGGGTATAGCTTTTTTAACAAGTCTATTTTAAGGATGTAATCATAGCCTTGTATCAGGTGTTGATCATTTTTTATTCATAAGGTGTAATGACTCATCACTTAGTACCAACAGTATAGCAGTTTGCTCATCACCGATGCTGTAGGATTCAGAAACGTCTGTGTTAATGCCACATTTTTTAAAAGTCTGGCTTCTTGTAATGTGTCTGTGCGCCTTCCTTTTTTAGTATGAAAGCGCAAGTGTGTGCACAGGCCCGCACACCGTGCAGAGCCTGCCAGCTTACGTGGCCATTTCTTTGAGCAGCGTCTCAGCAGGGTCCTGCTGCGTGGGCTCACGTTGCTGGCTGGCGGACACACTGCCCTGACTCGGTCTCCTCGGCCCAAAGCAGAGGTGGTTACAAGAGTTCAACAAGGCCACTTTTGTGAAAGCGCCCAGCCAGGCACCTACACCAAGCAATTGCTCAGAGATGTTGGAGTCCTTCCGTGCCTTCAGCTGGCCTTGACAGAGCAAGGTCAGGGGGAGCTACTGAGGAAAGGCACTGCGGGAGCCTGCAGACTGAGAAAGCGCAACGCAAGCAGCTGTTTAGTCCCCGGGGACAGAGAGCTCCATCCCCAGCCAGTGGATCTGTGGTGACTCTCCGGACTTGCTGCTTTCTCCTTGACACACGCTTGTCCCCCTCCCTCGTCTCCATTTTGATTCCCAACATCCTCCATTGGGCCCTGAGAAAGCATGTGGCTGCTGCTTCCTGGGAATGAACTTGAGATCCCCAGCTGACACTCCCTATGGTGACACGGGTGTCTCTGAGGCCCTGTCCCCTTCATTTTGTTACCAAGCAATAGAAACTTTAAAGCAGTCAGGTGAGCGAGTGCCATGGCGGACGGCTGGCCCTGCCGCAGCTCAGTCTCCAGTGGTCTTGCTTTGGGGTCATGTTTTACCCCCTAACATGACAGTGGGGAGGGCGGCTGCTGCAGCCCCTGGGCAGCACTGACACTGGCCCCATTTGCGTACCTCTCACCTGAGCACAGCACGACAGGGCTGAGAGGGGGCCTCGGCTGGTTGTGCAGCAGCCCAGGGCCGTGGTGGCCTCCCCTGCGGCCGGCCTGGCCCGGGAGACCAGGTGTAGCTCAGAGACTTTGCCACACAGGCCGGCCTGGAAGCCGCATCCACGCGGCCCTCTGCCGGTGCAGGGCCAGTTTGCGGGTGCTCTCAGATGGTCTCCGGAGGTAAAGCAAGGTCTGCTCTATGGGAGCCCCTTTGTCTTTGCCCCGGGGTTTGCCGGGGAGTCCTGGGAGGGCTGCGCCTGCTCGGCACGGGTTACGCAGGTGCTCCATCCTCTGCTCGGTGCCCGATTGAAGTTCTTGTCACCTGCCTCGTCAACCAGGGGGAAGTGTCTACAAGAAGGTATTTCATACAGTGCACCCCATTTTGCTGCTCTAGCTTATTGGAAAGCTTTTGTTGCCCACCTCGTCCTTCGCCTAGACCTTCCTCTCTCGGTGTAGTTTCTGGAGCTCACAAAAGGCCTGTTGACGCCCCATATCCCTGTTACCCTGACCCCGGGTCCACGGCCCTCGGCTTAACAGGATGTCACTTTCGGAAACGCCTCACATCTGTCCTGGGGAGTCCAGACTCAGCCCGGACGCTCCTGGTCACCAGCACAGAAGTGGGCACGACCTCCTGGCTCTCCAAGGAGGGCTGGCGACTGATCAGGCCTGCCCTGGGGGCTTCAGTGGCCGCCCGAGACCCTGACCTGGTGCTTACTCCCCCACCGAGGCTGCCTTCTCAAGGTGGGTCTTCCAAGAATCAAGTCACTGCCTGGGTTGTCACCCGCCTGGGTTGGTTCTGACACGACCTGCGTTCCCAGCTCCACTTCCTCGTGCTAAACAGATAAGCAGGAAGAGTCCGTGCGAAGAGTCCCTTCACCTCTATTATTCTGACACCTCACAACCTCTCCTGCTCTCATTGCTTGATATGTAACAGACTTATCGTGCTGGGTGTAAAACAGACATTTCTCAGTTGACAAGAAACTTCGCTAAGCAGAGGGCTTGCCCCTCCAAAAGCTCTGAATGACAAAGGACCATGCCGACTGCTGAGTTTCTGGCAGATGTGGACATAGGTCTGCAGAGAGGAAGACTGTGCAGAGCCCTGCTGAAGGCCATTGGCGGCTGGTCCCCATACTGTCATCCTCAGAACGCACGGAAGAGTGGCGGCAGAGCCACAGCGCGCTCCGTGCTGCTGGAGGTGGCAGAGCCCAGAGCTCGAGCCACAGCTCGAGGGGCCACAAAGGGTGACGTCTACTCCTCACATCTTCCTTCCTCCCACTGAGGCCCAACCCTGAGGATGTGAGGACGACAGAGGCCTTGCTCCCTCCCAGCCTCTACGAACAGAGGGTGGTGCTGGGTGGGCCAGCACTGCTACTGCATACTCACTGGGCTTCTTCCCTCTCGCTCCCCCCCAGGCCCAGCCTTTCTTTCCTCCAACCAGTTTTTCTTGCAGTGCGGTTGGTTCCCAGGATCAGCAGCAACAGTGTCTCTGAGACCCTGTCGGAACTGCTAGTTCTCAGCAGGTGCTGCCAGACCCACAGAATCAGAAACGAGGGGTGTTTCTGACTCCCGTCCTAGCAATCCCCGTCTTAACCAGCCCTTGAGGGCATTCTGACACAAGGTCTTTCAGGTTTGAGAACCGCTGCATTGCGCTTCCCTGTTAATAATCCTGCTCTTCAAATTTAGATTCTGCTAGCTGTGGTTGAGGGCCCACTAGCTGGTTGATCTGGTGAGGCAGGTCATGCCCTTTTATAGCTGTGGGAATGAAGCCCCAGGGAGCTAAATGCGCTCCAGGTCACAGGGCTTACAGGTAGCAGTGGGGGGATTTCAATCCTCACGTCCTGCTTCCAAATCTAGGGTCCTTTCCATTCCATCACAGGGAGGAACAGAAAGACGCCCATGGGCTGGCCGATGCTGACCTATAGCCTAGTAAGAGCAAAGTGGACACTTTCTGTTTAGGCACTTTTTTTTTTTTTTTAAATACTTATGTGCAATGAAGTAACCACGGTTTCACATCCTGGTTAGTATTACAGCCGTGTCCGATTTCTCCCCTCAGATGTGGTCACTGTAGCTCTCCCACTGTTTTGGCATGGCTGAATCACCCCATTTTGATGACTTCAGGTTCCACAAGCTCCTTACCATAGAGCTTCGTTCTCACCTGTTTTTCATTATCTCTCCAAAAGTGGGTGAGCAGAGTGAGTGTCTCTCTCAGAGGCACGTAGCTTCGTTTTCATCAGCCTGCCAGTGGTTCAAAGAAAAGAGTCCGGGAAAATGGGATTTATTACAGCAGTTCAGTGTATTACGAAGGGGGCAGTGGTGTTTTTCTGAAGGTAACTGAACAGCCAGGAATAGGTCTGCCCTGGTCAGCTTTTCCTGCTCGGTGCTAGCACTGGCCCAGCGAGTCTTGCTGGTTTATTCTCACTGGCTTCTCAGTAAACGAAAGACTGTCTTGCGAGGTCCTGGCATGTAAGAAATTGCCCATCACCCACATAACTCAGCTCCCCTTAAGGTGAAAGGGTTTCAACACTTAAACCAGGTCACTGCTTACATACTTTGTTAAAGCCTTCTAATGAAATACTAGTCAACCCCACTGTCAGTTGACTGAACTTCAAGCGTCACATAGTCGACACGTTCTAGCCCTTCCAAGCGCCAGTGTTTACCGGGCTGACTGCTAGAGTTGGGCCGGGTTGTGAGGGTGGGTTCTGCTGGGAAATGCACACTCATGACTGTGGGGGCTCAGCCAGAAACTGGAATGTAGTTACTCATGACTCCAAAGGGGAGAATTCCAGGAGGAGGTGAGTCCCCTTTCTGCTCACAAGGCCCCCGAGAGGCTATTGCTTAGCAAGTGCTATTCAGAGGACAGCGCTTTGCAGAGGAGGCTGAGATGCAGAACATGCCTATCTCATCCCTCTGCTGTGGACAGAGGCAACAGATCCAGAACCTCCCCAGTGACCTTCCAGTGTTTCTAGTAAGTGAAAGAAAGTAGCCTTTCCTGCTCCAAATCACAGTTGGTGCCACCCTAAGGAACTTGCTTCCTTTCTTATCTGACTCATGGAAAGTAATATCTTTCTGGTTGGGGGCCTGGCCAGGTTTAGCCCATTTTTTGCTCCAGGCCTTCACCAGTAGAGGTAGGGGACAGGATTTGGTATTTGTAGTATAATTGGGGTGGCAGGAAGTGCAAAATTAATACAACTCCACTCCAGTGCCAAGAAAATATCTGCCAGCAGTCGGGTCCAACTCTATGAAAATGACAGTTGATAAAGACAGAAAAGTGCTTTTCAGAAACGTGCTATTAAGAGGGAAACCTCCATAGGACCCAGCAATCCCACTCCCAGATATCTACCCAAAAGACGCAAAAACACTGATTCAAAAAGACACCTGCACCCCCACGTTTATTGCTGCTTCATTCACAATTGGAAAGACATGGAAGCATCCCAAATGCCCAAAAGTGGATGACTAGATTAAAAAGATGTGGTGCATATATACACTGGAATATTACTCAGCAACCCCCAAAAAAAGAATGCCTTTTGCAGCAACATGGATGGAGCTGGAAGGGATCATGCTGAGTGAAATAAGCCTGAAAGAAAAGGAAAAATACCGGATGGTTTCGCTCATAGAAGGGCATAAAGGACCAGGGGAGAAAATATTAATAATAATGAACAACTATATACCAGAGACATTTCACGGAGTGAAACAGGGAATAGGATCAAAAACGGTGGGGGAAGGGAAATGCGCTGGACTATGGCCATGGCACATGGGTGACTTGGTGATGGGAAACCCACGGGGATTACAGCTGAGATGGAAAAAGGCACAAAATGATGTAAAAATAAACTATTATATTATTTAAAAAAAAAAAAAAAAGGAAACCTGGCTGTTGTTTTTCTCTTCTGGCTAAAAATTGTTTAGTTTCCTTTTAATAAAACGGAACCATGCAACATGCATCTCAAAGTCAAGTGTCACCCCAAAAAGTGATACTTCAGGCTGTCAAAAGTCAGCTAACATTTTAATTTAAATGTTTTTAAACTGTACTGCTTTGCACTTGCAACTAGAGAGGAGACAGTTGGGTCACAAGCCCAGCTCAGCTCTCCTGCTAGATGGAGCAAGGCTGCCCTTGAGACTGGCCTCAAGGAGTTAACGCTTGTCAGGCATTCCTCTTCAACAGAGCTGGGAGGTGCCGGCCGCAGCCGGCACTGGCTGCATTGTTTACTCTCCACCCACAGAGGAGGAGCTGGTGGGGGGGAGAGGGCACGTGTGCCTGGTTCTGGATGCAGAGCAGGGAAGGCCCTCATTGGTGACTCCCGGCTGAGGTGTGGCTAGCCGCTTAATCTTGTTCTCCCCGTGGTGAACCCAGGAGCGGCTGGAGGCGATGATGCGCAGGTCCTTGGAGCGCACACAGCAGCTGGAGCTGAAGAAGAAGTGTTCGTGGGGAGCATCGTCTTCGCTGGCAGGGGGGCCAGGAGGACGAGATGGTGAGTCCCACCGTTCTGAGGCGTGCGCGCAGGGCCCTGTGGGAGATGGTGGTCGTGGCCGCACCTGCCTGCCCTCCCACCCGCAGGATCTGGGGATGCTTTGCCAGTACCCTCTTCAGAGGTGCCCTTTAAACCTGCCGTGCTTCCTGGGGATACCTTTCACCTCAAGGGGATCTGTGCCTCCTTGCTGGAAAATAGCATTTGATACAGTGCCTGGGCTTGGGCGGAAAGCAAGAGAGTAGCAAAGAAAAGGAATGCGGAGCCCCCTGTGGACCCAGCAGCGAGCCCCTGTCTGCCGCAGGGAAAGAAGGGGCAGCAGGCAGTGTGGGCTGGGCGCCACTGCAGCATGAGGCGGCGGTAGCTGCCCTGCAGGCACGCTGGGTTTGCCCTCCTCACTGCTAATCTCTGTCACTCTGTCCATTTTGCCGTAGGCGACGTATTTAAGACATTATCTAGTTCATTCTCATCTTTAAAATTGAAGTGTTTACTGTACTGATTATTGCCAGACTCTGGGTAACCCCCTCCTCATGGCCTCCTGCATGTCTGCGACCCTGACTGGACTGTGCGGGTTATCGACCCTCTCCTCCCGAGAGCTGATGGCTTTGCCTCTGTACAGTGCAGTTTCCTGACGTTGCTATTTTATGCTTTTAACCTTCTGTCAGTGAATATACTTACTTCAGTGCCTTTTTCTGATCTCCTGTGAGAAACTAAAATTAGAAATTGGGACTGTTTTCTTTTACCTCTCTTTGCTCTGATTTTTTGGTGTGTGTGTGTGTGTTTTTGTTTGTTTGTTTGTTTTTTGCTGTGTAGGTGAATCAGAAAGTACCCCACCCCCTCCTCTAGGTTTAGCAGCCAGCACCCTCCCTCCGGACCCAGGGACCACTGCCGCCGCTGCCGAGCCCACCAATGGTATAGCCCAGCTTCACCAGGCCATGGCCGTTCTGATCACCCATCACCGTGTCTGTCTCAAGCACTTTCACAGTTGATTTCTTAGTCTGACCCCTTAGAACTTTTTTTCTGTTTTAGCGACATCAGTGACATGTGCCCATCTTTCTTTGTTCCTCTGTCATCATGGAGCTGTGCATGCCTTACAGCCCAGCACCCTGGCCACATTTCATCCTTAACTCACCAGTGTCTGCCTTGAACATCTTGTCAGTTTGATCTTTGTGCATTTAGATTCTTCAACATCCATTGATTATCCATTTTAGGTATTAAGCAATAGGGTGTTCCAGTCACTTGCGTTACCAAAACCTCTAATTACGCTGAGTTCTGGGTGTTAATATGATAAATTACTGGAGACGTGTTGAAGAGGGAGAGATTTGGGCGCTTATCCAAGCAGGGATATAAGTTGGCTCCATAATAGGCTCTCAGTTTGGTCTACAGGCCTGGGAAATTCAGAGTCCAGATCAAGATCAGAACTAGCAAAAGTTTGCTTCCGTGTAAAGACTTTAGAAAATGCAGCCCGTCTTTGGCTGGCAAAGAAACAAGCTGTAAAAGGGATGCAGTATTTACCAGCAGTGTAGGAGACCCAATCAGAGCAGTAAGAGTAGACATCCTTGGTTTCCAGCATTCCATTGACAAAAAATAATTCCTTTTGGCGTTGCTGAGCAGCAGAGACTTTGCTGCCTGGGCCAAGGTAGCTATCGTCCAGGCGCTGGCCTTCCTCAGAACAGTTGATGTCCCCCTATGGGAACTGCACTCAGAACCTGGACCAGGAAAGAGGCAAGTGTACTACTTGACTCGGGAGTACAGTTTTAGGGGTGCCCAAAACTTCAGTAGCCAAGATAAAATAATAATTTTACAAATTAGAATGAATGCACAACAGTCTATGATCGAATTTGTAAAGGCCACTGCCGCGTTGAGCCATCTCAGCGCCTGAGGCAAGAGGGGAAAGGGGTATCCCCACTAAATGACTTAACATCATTTCTTCTAATGTTTAATTTTTTCCAGAACATCAAATTAGTTCTAAAATACTGGAAAACTGAGAAGTATTAAATCCCATTTCAAGCTTAAACAGTAAAACCAGTTGTAATTTTACTTCTGCTTGACTTGATTAACAATTAGCGGTCGGGAGAAATTGTCTCATTTGAAAGCAAGATGAACAGAGATTTTGAAAATATTACTGAGTTTGCTTCTTTTAAAGCCAGCACATGTATTTTCCCTTTTTCCTCAGGCTCTAGTATGACTTACCACAGTGGTTTCCTTTAGAAACCAATCTGAAACAAGTTCTGGAAATTAAGAACTCCAAACCCAGGGCCACATGTTAAGATCCTAGCCATAGAGTGGTCAGAATATTTGCGAAAGGACCTTTGTGATCTCACCTCTTGACAGAGAAAGAAATCAACAGGTGAAGGTTCTTCTGCTTTAAATACAGCTCCCCAAATTCAAATTCCATCTCTGTCCAACCTAAGCTATAGGTAGCCTGCAGGAAACTGAAGGTCTGCTTTTAGCTTCCACAGCCTCGGTCAGGTGGTCGGGCCTTTTCCAGTGTTGGTGGCTCTGAGTCCAGGTTGGTTTTGAGTTCTTCTGGTCTGGCTGGACTAAAGATCCCTGGACACAGGGAGAGAGATGGTTTACTGGTGGGATTAGCCTGCTTTAGTCGAACAGTTGAGTGAGGTCGAAGCCTGGAAATGGACGAGAAGAACTGTCAAGAAATGGAAGAGAAGACCCTGCTTCCAGCGGATGCTACGGTGACCTGGCACATCCAGCTCAGCGCAGCAGCTGGCAGGATGGTGGAGGTGATGTCTCTGCCCGCGCCGTAGCGGCGTGTGGATGAGGACAGGAAGAGCATTTTGGGGTGTGTTTCTTGGGCTACCGTAGTGTGGATACCAATGTCTTTAATGCGTTTCTCTGCAGCATCTGACAAACTTTCAACATCAACCATGAATTTGCCAAAGCAGATGGAGCCTCCCATGAGTAAGCGCCTGTCTTCCTCCACCGTGGCAATATCCTATTCCCCAGACCGAGGCAAGTGAACGTGTTGACCTGGTCTTTGTAGTGCGAGTGTTTCCATGTTATCATTCTGTCTTTGTGCAAGCCCCACTCGAGCCACTGGCCCCTGAGCCTAGCCTTGTGGTCCCAAGGGGGGAGCCTTCAGGTGGAACTCAGGAAAGTGGCTCTCTTTCACACCAGGTCGTGGTTGGACAGGGGCCTGGGTTAAGGACATCCCCCAAGCTGATGAGACAGATTCCGTCTTCCACAGCATGTTGGGGTGATCTTGCCCAGAATGAATTGACTAGTGGGCAGATTCCAGTGTCAGAAAAGCAGCTGCCCTGTTGTCGGTGTGATACAGTTGATGAGCCACGAACAGCAGTGTTGATGAGGCTGAGGTGATGGGAGATGTACGTGTGTGAAAAAGGAGCCCGTGGCTGTCTGGCTCATAGGCCTGCCCGACTCTGTCTTGAAAACAGAAGTTTAGATCTAATACGAAGTCTTTAGAGGGGGCAGCCCTTCCTGGCACACTGCATTGAGGTGAAAACGTGCAGCCTGTATGCCCCTTGAGCGTACCCACGTCCAGAAACAAGAGATTAAAGCTGCCTTTGTTCTAACGGAAGCTCCAAGGAGTCACTGAAAGTCTGGATTTATGTGGTTTTGAGTATGTAGGTTCAGGAACCACTAAGAAGCCCTCTGTGCATGAAATGTATACTTTAAAGCATCTTTGAAGAAATGCCAGGTGCCAGTGGCGTTCATTAACACGTACCCTGTAATATTTCTGTCAATGATGGACCGATGTAGGTGCCAGTTCTGTATGTAGCCCACTGGGCGTCTAGGTTTGTGTCATTACACTCTAGACTTATTCACACAACAATGAAGTCACCTAACTATGCAAATTAGTCCCTGTTAAGCAACACGTGACTAGTTAGCATGGCAGCTCATTGCCAAGGGGCAAACAGAATATTTGTGCCTTTGTAGCAGCCAGTGTGTCTCCCTGGCTGTTCTTCATTGACACTGACCCTGCACCTCCAGCACAGAGGTCTGACGTGGGTCAGAGATGCCTATAGGCGTCAGCATTGCTTTTCTCTGATACAGGCCTTGGGTAAGTGCTGCAAACCTTGAGTTCAGTAAGAGCTATGTGCTTTGAACTCTACAGCTCTTCCATTAGTGAATGTATTCCGTATGCTTTCATTAATTCACAAGGTCGGAAATAAATATTTGCATTGATCCTGAAACGATCTGTATGTTATATATTGTTGGCAACTGAATTATCTCCATGTGTGAGTTGTAAATTGAAAAAAAAACTTAATCCCCAAACCATTTTTATACCAGCTAATGGATACCCAAAGAATACAGAGTAATAGAAAATTTCGTTCATTACCATATGTTATATTCTAGAACCATCAAAATGACATATTGATCACTGAATTTTAGATTATGAAAGTAACTACTTCCGTTAAAGCTGATAATCAGTTGGCTATTTTTATTTTTGTGTTTCTTGCCTAGTTTTACTTTGGAGTTTTTGTCCTTGTTTATGTGGAAATAGCATGAAGGGGTGCATACTTACACATTAACAAGATCGGTGTGTTGTGAAACAATTCTCAATAAAGGGCTGACCTAAAACAAGTGTTTTATAGAAGTCATCTTTGTTTAGTGTTAGATATACTTAGTGGTGGTTTCTTGAGTCCACGTTCCATGTTAGGGGATGGGTCGAGTCTCTGGGAGTGACACAGGCAGCAGCGTAATTCTGTGACCACATAGGGGGTACGTTCAGGCTCCCCAGGAGAATTAACGCCCTCTCCAAACTCTGAATGACACATCATTTGTTTCATTTCACTATGACAAGCTACAAAGCCATCCCTTTCTATAATATTTTTACTTCCCACGTTTGTCCTGCCACTCAAAAGTTAATTTGCATCATACACTGTTACTGGAAATATTTTTTTAATTTTGCTTTTTTAAATTTTCATTTGATTCCATCCCTCAGCTCATCGCACGCACCTTAGTCCCACGGAGCCCTTTCTTATGCGACTATTGACACCCACACAGGCTTCTCTAGCCAGAAGCAGAAGTTCACTCATGCTCTCTGAGCAGGCCAATGACTCAGGTAAACCAGGCCAAATTGGTGACACTGAGGAAAATGCCTGACACGGTGTGACGCGGTGTTGGTTGGCCTATGAGTTTTTCCTGACTTTCTATTTTTTGCTTCCCATTTGCTGGATTTGTGAAATGTCTTCAGTGGTTAATAATATTTTCTACCCATCAGTGTTTTGCTATTGCTGTTTCTTTTCTTTTGTCCCAGAGGTGAGTAAATTAATTTACTGAGAGTGTGTGAATGAGAGAAAAGTATATATTTCATGAGCTTTGAGACTTTTTTAAGAGATGGTTTGCCAGAGTAGCCTATAAGTGACAGTCTCTGGAACCCCATAACCAGTTCTACTGCTTACCTGCTCTTACTGCTTTGGCTGAGTTAATTAACCTCTCTAAGCCTCAGTTTCCTCATCTATAAAGTGGAGTTAAATCATCGCAAGGATTAGATGGGAGAGGGATGATTGGCACAGTAAAATTTAACAAATACCTAGAGCCTTGCTACTCGAAGGGTGGCCCGTGGCCTGGTAATGTTGGCATTGCCCGGAACTTGTTAGGAAGGCACTCTCAGGCCCACTAGACCTGCACACTGGACTTTGAGAAACACTGGCCCATGGCATCAAAACCCTTCCTTGAGCAAAGCAGATCACAGAGATGTGGTATGATTAATGAGGGTCAGGGCTCTCTACAGATAAGCCCCTAATGATTGAGCAGCCAGTGACTGGGGTCACAGAGGATTCGTTGGTGACACAGAGGTAGATACACCCACGTTAAGGCAGTCTGGTCTCAGTTCCCAAGATAATGTGTTCAGTGAGATGACACAATACGTAAAACCCTCTGTCAGTTCATGCAAATAAAGAGATAGACTAATGGCCAATAAATCCCTGATAGGATGCTCAGCATCTTAGTTACCAAAGAAATGCAAACAGGACCACCGTACCATGCCCTTTCATGCTGACTAGGATGGTTAAAATCAAAAGGAAATTGCTCAGCGTTGGTAAAGCTGTGGAGAAATTATATCCTTCATACGTTGCTGGTGGAAATATGAAATGATGTGCTCTGGAAAATGGTCTGGCAAGTTGCTCAGGAAGTTAAACATTAAGTTACCTCATCACCCAGCACCTCCACTTATGGAAATTGAACCATCCGTTAAGACAAAAACCAGAACAGGTGCGCCAAGCAGCATTAACCACGAGGTGGAAGCAACCAATGTCCATCAGCAGATAGATGGATGAAAGATGCGGTATATCCATAAGGGGGAGGTGTTCAGCTCTAGAAAGGATGAATTACTGAAACCTGCTGCAACATGATTAAGCTGGAAACCATTACCTTCTGAAAGAAGCCAGACACAAAATGGCACAAATAGCACGACTCCATTTACATGGAATGTCTGGATTAGGCACCATTATAGAGAGTGAATTAGTGGTTGCTGAGACCTAGAGAGGAGGAAGGGAAGAGAATACTCAATGGGTACTGGGTTTCTTTGGGGAGGGAATTGAAATTATGGAATTAGACAACAGTTGTGGTTGAACATCTTTGTGAAAATACTAAAAGCCACTAAACTGCATGCCCTGAAAGGGTGAATGTTGTGGTGTATGTATCTTAAATAAACAAAACATCCCTGGGAAAAAAGGGGAGATTTGCATTTTGAAGGTGAGCAATGTGTGAGGAGGTCCCCAAGAAGACCCCCAAGATTAGTAATTCTCTTGGACTCAAAGCTCCGTTTCTTCTTCGATTTTTTTGTTTATCTGCTTTTTACATTGTTCATTTTTGAACATTGTTTGATTTTTTCTCTCAGGTGTAATCCCAGAAAATTCCCACCACCAAGACACTTGTGAACCATCACCATAGTCTCTTGTGCTCTTCCTGCTCATGTTTCGAGCCCTCACCCTTTCCTTCCCGCTTCCCTGCTGAATGTTTCCAATTTATTGTTTCCCTGCTAGTTTTGTAGGATTTTTTTCCCCTGCTAGTTTTGTATGGTTTCCCTGTGTTCCTCCTATAAGTGAAACCATCTGATATTTTGCTTTTTCCTGCTCACTTATTTCACTGAGCATAATCCCTTCTAGCTCTATTCATGTTGTTGCAAATGGCATGAGTTTATCTTTTGACTGCTGAATAGTATTCCACGGTGTGTATAGACCACATCTTGATCCAGTCATCTATTTTTGGGTATTTAAGTTGTTTCCATAGCCTATATACTGTAAATAATGCTATAGTGAACATAGGGGTACAGAGCAAAATCTCCTCATGATTCCTGCATCTGACACCAGTTTATCAGGGGTCCCAAGATGATGATTCACTTGGAAGACTCAGAGGACTGAGCATCTGGTGACACTCACGACTGCGACATGTCACAGTGGAAGGCTGCCTGGCAAAATCAGCAAAGGGAATTGGCTTGCAGGGCCGAGACCAAGGGGTGCTGCGTGCAGGTGTCCAAGCTCCTCTCCCATGCAGGATGCTCGATCCCCCCCCAGCCATGAACCGTGACAGCGCCCTTGGAAGGGGCCAGTAGGGAAGCTCATTAGAGACTGGTGCCCGGGGTCTTTAGGAGCTGGCACCCCTGCAGGGCACACACCCACATTCCGGACTCTCAGAAGGAAGCAGGCAATCGGCATAGACCATGTAGCTTGTGGTTCAGCACTCACCAGTTCATGATGGGAACCCCCTGAAGGCTGAGTCCCCGATGCCAGCCATGGGCCACCCTTGTAATAAGCAGGCCTGTCCACGCACGAAGTCGGGTCTGCTCTGTTAATTCTTTTTTTTTTTTTTGTTCAAGGAAATTGATGTTTAGCAAGGTTAAGTAACCTGCCCAAGGTGATGCAGACATGAGGTGGCAGTGCTTGGGCTGGCTCGCTCCAAACCCTAGACTTTGCGCCTTTGAAATGAGCTGGTCTCTGGGGCATTGAGTACGGGGGTCCTTCAGGACAGGGCCATGCTGCCTACTCCAGGAAAAACATGGCGGTATTTGGGGAATGTGGATTGCCCGTTCCACATGTTAACAGAAATATTCTTCCCAGCTCCCTGCTCCCTTTACCTTTTCCATCTGTGCTCCCTGTCTTTCTGGTTTTTACACTGTAACTCTCTAGTATCCCATGCCTGTCCTCATGTAGCTCCTGCTGGCCCTCTTAAATCTTCCTACAAGTCTTCTCCCACTCGGAACCCAGAGAAAAAGAAAGCTCCATCTTCATCTGGTGGAGGAGATGCTGGAAAGGGAGCCCCGGCAGGAGCAGAGTCCTCTCCGGTAGGTTTAAACCCCCTCACCTGCCCCTGGGGATTGGTTGACCTGACTGTGGAATGACTTCCTGTGCGTGGCCAGGGTCTCTTTCCATCAGCCTCTATGGATAGCTTAAGGGGCGGATTTGGCTTAGCATTTAACCCAACCTTCGAAAATGATTTAACTTATTACACCGCGAGTGTCTACTTTCTGGCTGTTAATCAGACAAGGAAAAATAACCACATTTGCACTTGCCTGAAATTTTTTTGTGGTGATGGTATGTTTTGTATTTTCCAATTTCTGTGTGTCCAGGACTGTAATGATTTCGTTGTTAGTTCTTTGCAAGAAAACAAGGAAAAGAAAACCTTCGCATTTTGAGACTAAAGTTTTTTTTTTTTACCTGGGTGACCTAAATATGATGACCTTGTGGTGATTCCTTGCAGAGATATCAATTGTGTGAAGCACGATAGCTTTGTATGCCTCCTTTTGTAAGAAAACTGCATCACTTCCATTTGGGGTATTTCTAGAAACTGTAGAAACTCTGCTAGTCATGGACCATCACTGTTCTATTCTGTGTCTCTTACAGACACAGAAGGCGAAGAAGGGGCAGCGAACAACTAATTCCATTCCCAGTGTGGGCCTGGGGTCCCCTCTGAAAAGATGTGATTTTCCAGGAGGTGTTTCTAAGAGATCATCTTCTCCTGTGACATCCAAGTAAGCATATTTCCCCTTTGCCACAGGTGGGAAATTCTAGTATGGGGTGGCGGGGGGCGTGCGTTCTGGGCTAGAGGGTCTGCTAGCTGCTTCTCCACCAGGCACAGGGGTGCTGGACTTCAAGTTACCTCTTAACTCTCAACATCTTCTGGGTAAACAATAAGTTCTTAAGGGATTTATTGCCAGGTAAATATGGACTCTTTATTAGCCAGATGATCCATCCGACATTTCTCCTTGGCCCATCCAAGAAGTCCATTTTGCTTTTCTGGCATTTTCTTTTGACTGCACCTACAGTAGAATGGTTGCATGGTGGGTGGGTGCCTTTACTAAATTCTCCTCCTCCCTCCCCATCGCCTGTCAGAGTGGCAATAATAACTTGACACTATCAGGAGTATTTTTTTTTTTTAATGGAGCCTGTATGTGTATGGTATGTGTGTGTGTTGTGTGTGTGTGTGTGTATAATTTTTTTTTTTAAGATTTCTTTGTCTATACAAGAGCTGGGGTTCAGGCCAGAAGTGCAGGGGGTGAGAGGATTCACCTGAGACCGGGTGGGGAGCAGAACAGGCAGAATGATGAAGTACACTGCTGAGGGGAGCTGCGGGTGAGATAGGAGGGGTCTGCTGCACCATGCGGGGTCAGCTCCCTGGCTGGGGATGGAACTCTGGCTGCAGTGGCTGCTGATAGCTTCATAGTGTTGATACTTAACCCTTTCACCACCAGGGGGGTCCCATATATATGTGTATGTGTGTGTGTTTATTAAATACATTAATATGTATTAAATATATATATATATTAAAGAAGTGGCCAAGCTCACCAATGAAACCATGTATCTGGAAAACAGATTTATGCTAACTGCATGAACACTGTCTGAAGTCACTAAAATATTTTACTTACAGTAAATGGCTGGAATGATTCAGCAAATAACTCACTCCAACAAGAAAATGAAAAATAATTTAGTACTGAGGAAAAAGAAATATGACTTACCTTGGGGAAGTAGGAAAATCTGTATGTAAAAAGAATCATATAAACTTTGTTTAGTGTGTCATTTTGATTCAGAGAATATATGATAAAACACAAATTTATGGAACACTTGGAAATTTGTTTAAAATATTTCATGGTAACATCAGCTCTAATTATTGGCTTTGTAACAGACTTTTTCACTATTATTATTTTGTTCAGAGTCTGCTATAGTTTTTATAGACAGCTAATACCTACTCTTGATATGTCTTACATAAGGAAGAACCTTTCACAGCATACTGCTGAGTTAATAGCATCTTGTTTTTTAGTTCATTGCATCTTTCTGTGCCAGTACTGAGAGTCTTTGGTTATGGCATTGCTCTCGCAAATTCTAAGTGTAATAGTTGGACCTTCAGTTCTTTGTCCTTATTTTGTTGCTTAGTCTTCGCTTCACAGGTCACTACAATGAGGCTCCATTTAATATCCTAAGTCGGTTCTTGGAAACTTAGGGTTTAAGCCAATGACTTGTAATGGAGCCAGGTCCCCAGATAACATTCTTTAGTTTAATACCAGCCAGGATTCTTTTTTGTTCATCAACCTTGTCGTGACATGATGTTGAAGGAAATGTTATATGACGTCTTTCTTCTGGACTAGTTGGTGGGTGAGCATTTGTTATATCATTTTTCATCCCGTTCATACCTTATAAATATTCTTTTGTATATGTAATTATGACAAAAAAACAATGAAAAGAAATCCGTTTTTAAAATGGTGTCACATAGAAAACAACCCCCAAGTGGCATGTCCCACCATCCCCTGTGTAGACCAAGAGTGTGATCATTCAGGCGCCTGGAAGTGCTGTGGCTTTGAACAGGGACTGTATGAGCCCCTCCGCACTCCCATTCAGAAACCCAGACGGTCATGTGAGGAATGGCTCTGGCAGCCCCTTGCACTCCCCAGACCTCAGATAAAGGAAGCCACTGTTGGTGGCTGTGCATATTAATGGCGTTGTTCTTTTAAGGGTTTGAGTTAATTGTAATTGTTTGCTAGAAAACTAGCTTCAGCAACACTCTCAAAGATGTGGACGGAGCATAGCTTAAGTCCCGTAACCTAGAGGGAGGAAATCAAGTGTGGCCTAGTGGATTTACCCAGCCTGTCTGTGTATCGGTGCTGCCTGTCTGCCTAGTTCTTCATGTGAAGTGTTCTCTGATGATTTCGGTTTCTTGAGAATATTACTATATTCTACCGCAGTGTGCTCATGATGATAGGGAATGTTTTATGCGTGGTAACAAGTGCCTCCAAATTTAGTGATTTGAAACAAGTTTGTTACAGATTGTCACAGCTGTGTGAGTGGGACTTACTGGGAGGGTCTTGCTTGGGGTCTTTTGATTGTTTGTGCTGTGGGTTGACTTGGGCTGGCCAGAGGATGGACATTTGGGGGCCTTCCATGCAATTACATAAAGGCTGGTGTTAATGAGGTACGACAGCGTGACTGTGCTGACTTCAGCCAGCCCCCATGAAGGCCCCGCCAGCACTTGTTTCCTCAGCCAGGATGGACCTGCCATCCTGCATTGCTTTTAGTCGTCTAGTGCTGTGGCATTGCTTCTTCAAGGCCTCGATCTTTATGAGAGCACAAGGCAGTTATGTCCAGGACTGTGCTTCAGTTTGGGTTGGTCTGTAATTTCCTTGTGATTAGGTTCAGGTTGCACGTTTTGGGCAGGAATCCTGAAGGACTATTGGCGCCTTTCTGGTGCATGTGTCAGGAGGCCGTGAGGTTGGGTAGTTTCGTTCCTGGTGGTGGTGACTTGGTGATGGGGTTAAGGTGGTACCCAGAGGCTCCTCTGGTGTAAAACTGCTGCTCCCTTCTTCCTGGGAAGTAACACTCTGTGACCATGAACAGACTTCTCAGAATGTGAGCTCAGCTGAGCTTATGTGGCCACAGACGCCTCCCCTCCTGCAGGCAGACTGATCTCAGCGTGTGGAGTTGAAAGATTTCGGAGAAAACAACTGCATTCCAGGATATGGAGGAGGAAACTCTTTGGGGTTCTGCTCTGCAGAAAACTCAGGCTCAGAAGTGTGGCAGCCCGCTCCCAAGAGTTACTCTTGCAGCTTTTCTTACAGAGGTGTTCGTCCTTCCTACAGGTCACGGAACCTCCACAGACAGTCTAGTCCAGCCTTGTGCGCCAGGAAAGCCTGTCTCTACCAACAAAGCTTGTGAATCCCCTGATGAGGTTTTTAGTCCTTGGTGGTATTGAACTTTTCAGAATCGAAGTGGAAAACTGTAAAAAAGCAACAGGAACAATCAAATGACCAGTCTCTTGTCAGCATCACCTGGGGGAGGTCATTTAAACACTAACACTTAAGACTTTGGTTTACTTACCTAAAATATGGTTAATCATAATTTCTCACCTCCCTGAGTTATTACAGTAATCAAATAGATACTTACTAGACAAGAAGGTATTTCAAACTATAAGTCTGTTTACTTTGTGTTTAACTTTTCTCATCAGCCAAGGCACTTATTTCTTAAAAATCAGGACTTGGGGAAAGGGTGGAAGTAGCTCTGCCAGACCTTATTTGGCTTGTAGTATTGTGGGCAGGTCTGGCCAGTACGGTGCACCTGACAGGTCAGTCTTCCCTGGGCCACCACGCCTGTGCCGGAGCTGTATCCAGGAAGGGAGGCGGTAATGCAGAGGAAACAGAAAATTCACAGATAGGAGGTAAAATCAGGAATTTTAAGATCCTATTCTGTGATTTGGTCACTCACTGTAAAGAAAAATATCTATGACCTGCCTGTACATCTCCAATTTGGGGGTCATGGGCTTGGATGTGAAAGAGAAAGAGAATTTTTACTGATTTTGCTCTGTTCATTGGGCAGAGACTGGATCAGGAAGTATAAATAAGCTGCTTAACAGATTGAGTCTTATTCCAAGTAATCCACCCTTCTCAGGTAGAAATTATTTTTAGATGTGTGTTCATGGGTAATTGGCCTGCTTTCCTCTGACATGGAACCTCACATTCTGCAGTGTGAACGGAACCCCCGCATGGCTATTCTGTTGAAGGAAGTTGAACCTGTGGCTGGCGGACACCCCCCCCCCCCCGCTAGCCAGCCTCTCCCCCCTAGAATATAGTTCTTCCCCCTCCCTCACGGACTCTGACCACAGCAACCAGGGGACCTCATCATATGCCACCCTCCTCACAATGAGCTGCTTAACCAACCCCAGGAGTTGTTGGGGTGCAGATGCTCGCATCTAGCCTGGAGGCTATCCTGGCAGCTCCCGTGCCACTTCCAGGGACCCTCTGGCAGCCATGTCTGCTCTCTGCAAGCCTCCGGGGTGGAGTCACCTCTTTAGGCGAAGCTCGATGCCACTCAGCACGGCTCACACAGGCAGCTGTGTGAGAGAACCAGAAAAATCCTGAAGGCTGGACTGGCTGTACCCCGCCCCTTGGCCCAGTCTCCCCAGTCAGCAAAGCATGCTCACTCCTTGGGGAGGAGGACAGGGGTGAGGAAGAAGCGCAGGTGAAGTTGTACCAGGCTTCCCAGTGCCAGGAAGTCCCACTTAGTGCATCAAAGTGGGCCTGCGATCAAGGTGCGGCCAGGGAGGAGAGTGAGTTTCCCTCAGTATCACCCGCTGCGCGCCGCACCAGGAGCATCACTGGAAAACTGCCCTGCATCTTGTCTCGGCCATAGGCTACTGGAGGATTTTCTGGCTCGAGACCAAGTTGATCATATTTTTTTCCTTATCACCAGGATCTGATTAAGGTAACTTGTTAGCCTCTGGTAAGACATCGACCTTTATTATTAGTCCAGGTTGCTATTTTCATTGCTGTTTTCATAGCTCACAAGTATTTGAAGGCTATCCTTTTTATATGTTCAACCCACGATGGGGTTGAGGGTGACATACAGGTGATTTACATACAGGTCATATTCTTAAAGATATCATTGGGAATGCCGAATCCCTGTGTAGACCTCTGAAGCTAAGCTGCTATCCATGTCGTCAGTAGCCAGCCTAGTCAGAACCAAGGCTTCGGACCCTCTGCCTGTACGAAAACACTCCTGCACTTGAACAAAGTGCTGTTTCTCACCAGTGGGGTAGAAATGGGCTCATCCTCCCCTTTTGTGTCTTCCCAGTGGGCAACAAGGAGTCTTTGAAACCTTAGGAAATGCCAAACACTCCCCATTCCCTACCACTTGACTGACTGTGCCCCTGTGTCCCTCTTGTTCTGTGGCATTTATAGAGGAGCCAGGGATCAGTTACATTACTCAGTACAGCTGGTGGCGCAATGGGTTAAAGCGCAGCACTATGAAGCTACTGCAGCCACTGCAACTCGAGTTCAATCCCTGGCCAGGGAGCTGACCCACATGGTGCAGCAGACCTCTGCTGACCCACCGAGAGCTCCCCTCAGCAGTGCATTTCAGTACATTTGTCTGTTCTGCTCTCCACTCTGTCTCTGGTAAATCCTCCCATCCCCCATACCTCTGTCCTGTACCCCGGTTTTGTACGTATAAGTAAAGAAATCTTTAAAAAAGAAAATGGAAAACACAGCACTATGAAGCTAGCCACAGCCACTCCAGTGCTAGTTCATTCCCAGCCAAGGAGCTGACCCGCATGGCGCGGCAGACCTCTCCGACCCGTCCGCTGCTCCCCCCAGCAGTGTACTTCATTGATCTGCCTGTTCTGCTCCCGACTCTGTCTCCAATGAACCCTCTCACCACCCCTGCACGTCTGGCCTGTACCTCAGTTCTGTATGCACAAATAAATAAATCTTAAAAAGGAAGTATAAAAGAAGTCATGCTGAGTGAAGTAAGCCAAACACAAAGTGACAGATATTGTGTGAGCTGAGGTACATGAGGTATGCAGGACAGTCATTCGGAGAGATGGACTGCAGAAGAGTGGTGGCCAGAGGCTTGGGGAAGCGGGGCATGGAGCTAGAGTTCATCGGGGCTGGAAGGCTGGAGATGGTGGTGACAGCTGCACCATGGTGAGTGGTGGGCTGAATGCCACTGACTTGTGTGCTGAGAAATGGTTAAGACAGTAATGTTTACATTACGTGGGTTTTACCACAGCAAAAATATAGTGAAGAAAAGGGAGCCAGCTTATCCATTGTCATATAGTAACGCCAGATCCGCCCCTGGTGTTCCTGCCAACAGAGGAAGTGGGCATGTCTACCACCCCACCCTCAGGTGGCCACAGATGGGATTCCTAAAGCTGGCCCTTCACCAGGCCCACAGGCGGGTGCACAGGTTTCTGTTTGGGTAATTGAACCGCAGGGACTTTTAGGGGTGTGCCACACCTTGCATTTCTGCACTGTTTGGACCGAGGCATCTTAGAACAGAGAGTTCTGTGGCCAAGCCAAGTCATTATCTTGGGGCGTATTTTGGTTTCTCAGGACAACTGCAAAAGCATATCCACAGTCTCCAAAGAACGTGAAGCCACCGTACCCAGGATCTCCAGGGAAATACCGCAGTCCAACCTTTCCCAACCAAGAGACACCCAAGAAGAAAGCAGAGAAAGAGAAGAGCAACAAGGAGCGGGAAGGCACCGTGGGGCAGCAGGCGATCAGCCCACCCGGAGAGGAAGCCCCTGAGAAGCACGTGGCAGACAAGCACGTCACAGAGAAGCACGCAGCAGCCGGAGCAAAGGCCGAGGGCAGTGCAGGTAGAGCCTCCTGCACGCTGGCCTGGGCCGGCAGCCCCAGGCGGTCCTCCCTCTAACCTGGCCCAGGGGGTATTGTTGTGTTGGGGGGCGGGGTGATCCCCTGGCACAGCTTCATACCCTCCTGCTACTTGTGTAGGCTTGCACTTTGCTCCTAGGCTTCCCCTGGGTCCCTGGAGGAGGAGACTTAGAGGCTGACACCATCATGGCGGGGGTGGCGGGGTGCTGAGCGGCAGCCACCAGCATCTGCACTTCCTGTGGAGGGGGGCCTGCTTTGGTTTCCCGCGCTTCAGGGAGAGACACCAGTTTACTCAGATGGGGGCAGCCGTGGGAATGCAGCACCTGCTCTATTTCTCTTGATCTCTTCCTCTTATGCTGCCTCAGGGAAGCCCCCAGCAGGCACCACCGATGCAGAAGAGGCTTCGAAGATCCTGGCTGAAAAGAGACGCCAGGCCCGACTGCAGAAGGAGCAGGAGGAGCAGGAGCGGCTGGAGAAGGAAGAACGAGATAGGTATGGAGTGTGTGGAGTTTCATGTGGAAAAGGCTGGGGTACAAAGAGCAACACACCTTTCTTTCTACAGTTCGGGGATCAATGCAGCTCAGCCAAAGCCTAGCGTGCTGGCAGGTGTTCAGGGGACTGCTCCTTCTGTTGGGCATGATTAACAGTGGTGGCCCTGTGTTCCCTGGGCAACCGGAAGCACGTGGCCCCAGGGTCAGTGTTCCCAGCAGCCCCTGGTTTTTTGGACTGACCAGGCCTTGTAGAGCAGTCAAGGGAATTTGAGCTTTGCTCATAGACTCCCCTTGAAACTACAGTGGATTTTTGGACGTAGCCGTCTTGATTCTAGTCCCCCAAACTGCTCAACTCACACCCTCAAGTGAGAGAGGAGGATGGGCAGAGGCCCTAGAACGTGCGGATGCCAACCTCATTGTCCACGAGCAGCCAGGTAAGGGACTCCCTCCTGGAGCACGACAGAGGATGTCCTGGCAATGCCCCTAAACTTTGGAGGGTGTCAAAATCATCAGGGGAACACAGGCCCTGTCTGCCACACTGGCTTGCGCAGGTTGAGAGCCTTGAGGTGTTCGTACCAGGACACTTGGTCAGAATACAGACAGCTCTGCCTTTTCTGAGTTTTATACTCAGAGAAGAGTGGGTGTTGGAGGACATGGTAGATTTTATCATTAAATTGATAAAGGAAACTTTCTGGATGATCACAGTGCAATCCAGTGCTGTTTAGAGAGTTGTGATGAAAAGCAAGCCTGCAGCACTTCTGGACCAGTCCTGACTTTAGAATAATAAATAATGGAATGTTCTTGATCCCTATGTGACCTTGGGAGCTCTTTTATGGTCTGATTACAGGTTTACTGATCTATTCTTTTTTAAAAAGGATGGGGGAAGGGCAGGCCTGGCTGACCCTTTCTTTAGATTCTGGAATTCTTTGATGACTTTCTTACCTCCAGCCTCTTGTCAGCAGAGAGAGCTTTCCTTTGAGTGGTTTGAGCTGCTTTGGGTGTGTGTGAAGGAAGGTCGGGGACATGAACATAAATTATGGGCCTCAGATGACCGGCCTTATTAATTACAGGCCTTATACAGGTGAGTGACAGGGTTGCAGCTGCAAGCTTAGGAGGTGAAGTTCTTCACCTTCCAGCCACCTCCCTCTCTCACATTTCCTTCATAGCCCAGCTCCTGAAAGAGTGGATTCTACTCCATGTTTTTCTTCAGCTGATAGTTGAGTGAGGCGGTTCCCAAGGCAAGGTCATATAGCCAGGCTAACACTCCCCAGAGTCAGCCCCTGGTCTGGTGCCTGGGCAGAGGTTCTCATGCTGTCAGACCTAGTCTCTCCAGGTGGCAGGTTGGTGGGTAACAGCTAGGGTGGGCAGGTCCTCGATGTGGGGGAGCACAGGGCAGCTGAAGGCAAGGCAGAGCTGACAGACTAGGAGGGTCTGGGCTGTGGAGAAGTCCTCGTGGCGGGGGCGGGGGGCGTCTAGGGGTTTAAGAGATGAACTGGGGTTGTGGAGAGAAATTGCAGAGCAGGAGGGGAGAGGCACAAGCCAGCTTGAAAGAGGTGTGTGCGTGGAGGCCTTGAACATCATCTAGGTATGAAAAAGGCAGTGAGTGGAAGAGGCAAGAGAGCAACCAAGGAGAGTCCTGAGTCGTGTCATTTCACAGATGGTGGAAGGGAACACGTAGGAGACATGACAGAAGACACAGGTGCCATGGAGGGGGCACAGAAAAAATGACACAAGGTGGTATTCTCAGTCCTTCACATCTCAGCAGAGGAAGAGAAGGGCATATTCCTGAGCAGTAGTGCCATGGAGGAGGGAAACTGAGGCAGCCCAGGTCAGGCGACCTCACATCTGTGAAGTGGTTGGTGATGCCATTGACTAAGGAGAATGTTGAAGATGAAGAAAAGACAGCGGTTTGGACCATCTCCACAGGCATTGGGAGAACAAGAGAAAAGGTTGGAGCAAAGCCAAAGTCAGGGGCACCAGTGGCCACCAGGCAGCCTTGTTTGCTTTACTCTAGTGCTGACAGCCCAGCATGGCCATGAGTGGACCTTGAGCCACTCACATCTGGAGCTGTGTGGCAGAGCGGCCCACAGGCCACCCCCAAAAATGCTTAGGTGGGATCAGAGGCCTAGGGTCACTGAGAGAAGGGGGCACAGAGCAAAATGATTGAGGGTGTTAACAGGGTACAGGGTGTGGCAGAGAGAGGAGGTGGCGAAGCATGGGAGAGAACAGGTCAAAGGGGATGACGTTTAAGAGGTCAAAGGTAAAGTGTCTTAAATGAAAACTTCTCAGCCCGCCAGCAAGAGAGAAGAGAATAGCTAAGCCTACGAACATGTCCACAGATTGGGCAGTTCAAGACTGAGCATGTGTCAGGGAGGTGATAATTGAATTGGGATCATTGCTGATGGCAGGGGACAGGCCTGCTGAATGCAGAATGATGACCTTTATGCAGTTTTCTGGTACTTTCTACCTGGTAAGAAAGGGGATGGATTTGGGGTGGGTGATGGAGCTGTACATGGATCTGGTGACCTTTGGTGGGAAGGGATTTCCCCAGGGAATGCCAGTTTTTAGCCTACCTTGGAGTGTGCAAAATGAGGTTAGTGGAGGGACTTTTGCCTGTTGGAACTGTGGGGAGGGCTTCACGAATTCACACTGTTTGCATGTGTTGGGCACCTCTGAGTCCTAATGGGAAAAATGGAAGAAAAGCAGCTTTTCAGATCCTGAGGGTGAAGATAAAGAGGAAATAGTTCATGCAGCTAGCTCACCTAACCTTTTGTGTATTGCCATCTTTGGGGCTGTCACAGCCTGTTCCTTCGCAGCCGGTACGAACTGAAACAGTGCTCTCTCAACCTTTGGCTACATCTGATCTGCACACCCATTTGTGATATACCATGTTGATTAGCCTTTGTCTGTCATTAAAGACATTAAGAACTGCAGTTTCTCTCTGATTCGACCCCACAGTACTCTTCTCCAGAGTTCTCCAGGGTATTTGTTAATAGTATCAGGTCCAATAATGTTCTCAGGGACTGCATTACCGTGTACTGTTAAAATCATAAATTAACCCCTTTAAGTATTTCTTTACCTTTTGAAAGACTTTGGTGACACAGTATTAAGCTCCCTGATTCCTGAAGCCGAGTATGTGGATGGAAGGATATTCTTTATAAGTCTTGATCTTTTTTTTTTTTTGATAATATAATAGTTTATTTTGTGCATTTTTCCATCTCAGTTGTAATCCCCTTGGGCTTCCCATCACCAAATCACCCATGTGCCATCACCACAGTCCAGTACATTTCCCTCCCTCCCCCCACTGTTTTTGATCCCGTTCCTCACTCCACCCTTGTAAAATGTCTCTGGTATATGGCTGTTCATTGTTATTGTTATTTTCTCGCCTGGTCCGTTATACACCTGCTATGAGTGAAACCATCCGGTATTTTTCCTTTTCTTTCTGACTTATTTCACTAAGCATGATCTTTTCCAGCTCCATCCATGTTGCTGCAAAAGACGTATGTTTATTTTTGTCTTGGTTGCTGAGTAATATTCCATTGTATATATGTACCACATCTTTTTAATCCAGTCATCTATTTTTGGGCATTTGGGTTGTTTCCATGTCTTTCCAATTGTAAATAAAGCAGCAGTAAACATGGGGGTGCAGGTATCTTTTTGAACCAGTGTTTTTGTGTCTTTTGGGTAGATACCTAGGAGTGGGATTGCTGGGTCGTAGGGAAGCTCCATGTTTAGCAGTTTGAGGAACCTCCAAACAGTTTTCCATAGTGGTTGTACTAGTTTGCATTCCCACCAGCAGTGCAGGAGAGTTCCTTTTTCTCCACATCCTCGCCAACATTTGTTGTTGCTCGTTGTTTTAAAATGTGCCATTCTCACTGGGGTGAGGTGGTATCTCATTGTGTTTTCAATTTGCATCTCCCTTATTACAAGTGATGTTGAACATTTTTCCACAAGCTTGTTGGCCATGTAAGTCTTGATCTTTTTATAGCTGTAACATTACCCAGTAAGTCTGTGACATACGCTTCCAAATAAAGGTAATTTCTGAAAAATTGACAGGTTTATAGATACACTTTAAAGGACATTGGGAATTAGGAATCATTTTCATTTGTCAGATGAACTAGCATTTGAGCATCTGTCTAGGGCTTGGCAGTGCCTGCCACGCATTAGCACACTTCATTCCACCTATGGTGTTGTGAAAGCAGTTGGAACTTCATGCAGTGGAGACAAGTTCTAGAAAATGCGTCCATAGGCGATCTGTTGGTTGTGAGAATATCATAGAGTGATGGCACAGACCCAGATGATACACACAGCATGGCCTCTTGGGGCCATTGTTATATATCAGTCACAAAATGTTGCTAAACTACCCATTACTATAGAGGTACTGCCAATTTAAAGTGGGAAACAGCAGTGTTGCATGGCTTCCCTAGGCTGGGTCACGCTGCCAGCCAGCTACACACTGCGAGATGAGTAGATCGCTCATGATTTCCCATGGGGGAGGAAGTGCTGCACACATGCACAGGAAGGACATTAGCAGTGGAGAAGCAAGTGCTTGGACGAACAGGTTTTTTCCCTCACTGCTCAGAACTCTTTATCATTACATCGCAAACCATTCATGTATGAATGAGAAATGTCTAAATACTATTTAATTTTCACATAGCAAAGAATAAAGGCTAAAATAGATTTGTAAAGATTGCCAAAAATAAATGGAAACTAGATGCTTGAGTTTATGGATTCAAATGTCACATTTCTATTGCATGTTTTTTTCAACTTGCAGCTTTTAGAAGCCATATACCAATAGAGCCCAAAGTGAACTTTTTAACTCACAGTTGCTGTTCTTAAATTGCTAACTGGCATAGTTGTGACCAGTAAGACATGCTCCCTTGTGTGAGTTGGGTTTAGATACTTTTTCTGCTTCGTTTTCAATGACGTACCATGAAATAAGATGTGGTTACTTGGTTATTTGTAGATTAACTAGGGGATGTACATGTCTTGGTTATAGTACACTCACAAATCAATACACCATCGCTCATAGCATAACACAGTTTAAACTCAGCCCTGTTTAATTCTTTTTTTTTTTTTAACATAAATTTACTGGCTAGAATGGATTTCCAGGAACAATGAGGTATTTTCCTAAGTGGCTATTAATTCAAGTGCAAAGCATCTGTTACCAGTTTGCCTTTTAGAGCATGTTATTGTTTTCTAACAACAGTTATGCTCTCCACAGGCTGGAGAGAGAGGAATTGCAAAGAAAGGCAGAAAAGGAAAGAATTCGTTTAGAAGAGGAAACCCATAAGTATGAAGAAGAAAAGAAGCTGCAGAAAGAGGAAGAGAAAACAAAGATAGAAGAGGAGGCCAAGCAGAAAGCCAAGGAAGAGCTATTGTTGAAAGAAGAGCAAGAGAAAGAAAAGCAAGAGAAGGAAAACCAAGAAAAGGCCATGGTTGAAAAACAGGTGCTGCACGCATCATCAGACGGCCCCTTGAGCCTTAGTTAATATTGAGTGAAATCAGATACATTTGAACGACTTAGATATTTACTTGAGGTTTTTCTTAAATTCACTTGAATAGTCATTAAATGAGTTAGTTTGGGCAACAAAAATGAAAATTGGTAGCATTCCCTGTATAGCACTTGGGTTTTCCAAAAGGCAGGCTGTGGAATAAGAATTTGGGTACCAGTAGCTCATGCGGGAGAATGTCTCAGGAGCTTGGGTGGGGTGGGATGGCGGAAGCCAGTGCAAGTGCATTGATGGTGAGCTGCGGTGGTACTGAAACCCACACCCTCTGGGCTCTCAGGGACGTAGAATGTGCCTTAGGATGGCCCCTCTGAGGAGTGTGGAACTGGGTTACTCCTGCCAGCTCCTGCTCCTCGTGGTTGAAGGTCATTCCTTGGGAAATGTACTTCCTGAAACTCCTGGCTACATGCACACTGCATGATCAGAGACTGGCCTGAGATTCACTAAGACTGACCACTTACAGGAATTGTTTGCAGATGACCTGCATGGTGGAACAGGGTTATGAGTGAATTCCAGCCATGTCTACTGTGTCTAGAGCATGCTAAATCTGGGTTAAAAATTGGAGCATGTCTACTGCTTTGTGGTAGATAATGAGGCAAACAAACGTGTTAACTCCAGAGAGTTCTTAGAGCGCTTTCTTAGCTTAAAGCCTGTGTATTGCTTTACCTGTTTCTATCAGAAGGAAGCAGCAGAAGCAAAGGCCCAGGAGGCAGCTAAACAGATGCGTCGAGAAAGAGAACAGATCATGCTGCAGATTGAGCAGGAGCGACTAGAGAGGAAGAAGGTAAGGGGCAAGGCAGATTTGGGATAAGGCAGGAAAAGGAAGTGAATCCGGTTCTGTTCTGAAATTGCTGCGTAGAGAGATCTTAGAATTGCTGATTATTCAGGTTCGGTGACTGTACAGTTCAGATCTTCTGTATCTTTATTAGCTTTCTATCTATTCTATCAGTTACTATGAGAAGAATGTCAAAATGTTCCATCTACTAACTGGAAGGGATTGTTCTGAAACAAGCCAAAAGGAGAAAGATAAATACTGAATGGTTTCACTTACAAATGGAATCTAGAGAAACCAAAGGGTCAGACAAAGACAAACTGTAAAACCAGTACTTGAAAGCAGACCACAGATGGGGGAGGGCGATGGTGAGAAGAACACAGTGGAATATAGTGGAAGACTGTTGGTGCTTTGTTGCTAGGGGAACTGGTGACCACACCTGAGAGAATAAATCCTATAGTATTAAAAATAAACAAGGATGTTTCAAAAATGTTCCATCCGTGGATCTGTCCTCTTCTCCTTCCATTTCTATCAATTTTTTAAATCTATAGTAAAATCTTATCTTAAAATGTGCTCTGTGCGTCTTTTTATGGTTTAACATTTGCATGGTAAATCTAATATTGATTTACTTGGAACCTATGTATGTCCTCATAAGTGTGTTTCTTGTAAACAGCATGTAGTCAGGGTTTTGACCCACTTGGCAGTCTTCGTCTGTTAATTGTAGTGTTGAATACATTTATATTTAATGTAATTATGGATAAAGTTGTCCTTGGTCAAAGCTAGACTTTGTACTTCGTGGTCTTCCCTCCTAATCTGCACCTCAGCTGGGCTTCCTCAGGATGGTCCTCTTGAAAGGCAGGTGATGATTTGTTAATTTTCAGGTAATGTAGGAAGAGAAATCGGGGATATAAATTGAGTGTTGATTCTAGATACTTGCTAGAGTTCACTTCTCAAGTGTTTGACCTTCATAGGGCAGAGGTGTACATCTCCAAAACCAGTGGGAAACCTTTCTGTACTCATCCTCTACTGATACTACTTTTACAAGTTTTCTGAGAAATGTGAATTGCACATACACCCAGCTACTTTCATGTTTTTGGCCTTGTTGTCTCCTCCCTGGTTCTTTTTGGTTTCCAGAGAATAGATGAAATCATGAAGAGAACAAGGAAGAGTGAGGTGTCCCCAGAAGTTAAGGTAAGCATGCAGAGCATCATTTTAATAGTTGCTGTACTCAGAAGAAAAGAATAGCTAAATACATTCAGTGAAATTGTAGATTTTGGTGAGAATTAGCCAGAAAAAATAAGGAAGCTCCTCCTGCTGTGTTCCTGACTAAATTAAGAGGAGGCCACCAGTGCCTAAAAGGAAAGAGGAGTTTCAGAGCCAGTAATGCAGAATTTCCCCAGAGAACTGGAGATGGGGATGCAGAGAGAGGCACAATAGTCCACGCCATTAATTAGAGAAGCGCAGCTGGTTTGTAATGAACTCATAGAAGATTCATAGAATTACCATGGAACAGGTGGATGGCCCAGCAAGATTCCAAGTACCCACTGATGCTTTTCAAATTCTTCTTTCTTTTTTTCAATTTAATTAGCAAAGGAAAAATCAGTTTAATAATATACATATGGGGATGTATGGTCATTGTGTATGTGACATGGCTCTCAATTCTAAAGAATAACAGAGAAGACCAGGGACATTTCCCCTGCATTTAGGGTCCTGGAACATCTAGGAGAGAGAAGGGGAGATACCACGTGACAGACAGAAGGGGTCTACTTCATCCTTACTGTGAAAGTAAAGATGCAATTCTCAGAGAGGACACATTCACTGATAAACCCACACCTGGTGACACCCCATAAACAGCATTCAGCTGTTGCTTGATTAGAGGAAGTGCAAAGACAGGACAGAGCTCCTCTTAATTCCTGGGGCCTTCACTGCTTTTAACTTGAACTAATCTTGAAGTAATGGTGATAGACCTGCGAGGTCCACAGAGCCTCAGCTGATCTCTAAGTTTCCCATGTCAGGGTGTCATGTATTGGAAAAGGCCTCTCTGGGCATATTCGAAAGCATCTTCTTCCTATGTGAAGTCAGCCTCCCCTCTTTTCATCCACCCTTTGTTTTCAGAAAGAAGACCCCAAAGCAGAACTTCAACCAGCTGTGTGCATGGAAAATAAGACAAAGCCAGTTGTCCCCAACAAAATAGGTAAGCACAAGGTCTGTTTCTGGTTCGTTCCTACAGTGGACAAGGGCTCGTGGCGTTCCTGCAGAGACAAGCAGCCGTGGGTCCTAAGAGCTTTGCTGCGGGAAGGGGGCTGTGAGTCTCCATCCCCAGCACAGGTCTGTCAGGTCTATTCAGAAACCACTGGTTCCCCAGCTACCCTGATAATCCTGGAGCAGGAGCTGCCTGCTTCCCCCTGACACTTCCCCGACTCTGAACTGCTTGCTGACCACATTCTAACAGACTCTGCTGTTGTTAAGGAGGTTTCCTGCAGCTCTTTTCTGTCATGTACATTTAAAACTCCTGCGGGTTGAATATTTCATAGTAGCCAAAATCACAAAAGACATATCCATCTCAGAGTCAATCTTTACATCCCTCCTTTGCCTTGTGGCTCTGGGGAATATTCCACGAGCCTGAAGGACTGTCCAGTGTATGCACCAGGACTCCTGGGTGGATCTTCTTTTTTTTTTTTTTTAAGATTTTTATTTATTTATGCATAAATAACTGGGGTACAGGCCAGAGGTATGGGGTGGGGGCCGGTGAGAGGATTCACCAGAGACAGAGCGGGAAGAACAGGCAGGTGGATGAAGAACACTGCTGAGGGGAGCAGCGGGTGGGTCAGGAGAGGTCTGAGTGCCATGTGGGTCACCTTCCTGCCGGGGATTGAACTTATGCTGCAGTGGCTGGGGATGGCTTCATAGTGCTGCGCTTTAACCTGTTGTGCCACCAGGGAGGGTTCTGGGTGGCCTTGAGCCACCCGGAGCCCTGCACAGACACCGCTGTGTTGAGATACTGATAATGTGTTGTTACAGTAAAGAAAGAGTGCAATTAATTTGACTTGATAAGTATTTCCTCTGTCATTTCATTATCTTGGATGTTTTCTGATTAACAGAATGACTCTGTGTTTTCAATTAGAAATCAGTTGCTTGAACACCAGCCAGGAAGTTAATGGTGTGGGGCGCTCTGCACCGGAAAGTTTTCCCCGAGATGTTTTCTCTAATGGACTTAAACCAGTTGGGGGACTTGTTCATCTGGACACCCTGGATGGAAAATCAAACAGTCTGGATGATTCAACTGAGGAAGTTCAGTCTATGGATGTGAGGTATGTCAATTTCTTTGTCATTTAAGCCTCATCTCCTCCCCTGAAGACCTTGTTGTTCATGTGCCCTCAGGTAAAGGGGATCTGAGTGGTGTCCATGGTCTCATCATTAAGAAAACTTCTTATTGGAGACTATAAGGAACTCATTTGTTTTCTTCCTTACTACTTAAGGAATTCTTAACTGCTGTGTTTGTGGGTGATACCAACTGGTACATTAAGCCTGGGCAGAGTCCATCTGCACAGGTTGGGCAGAGGCACAGGAACGGAGCCCTGGGTGGGGCAGCTGGAGTGGGGCGGCCCTCCCACTTCGGCGGGGTTGACAGTTTGGCCAGAGCTCTCAGAGCCCCAGCCTGTGGGACCAACCCTCCCCCCAGGCTGTGAGTGCTCAGCTCAGTCCAAGGGGCTGGAAGATGCAGGGACTTTGTAGGGCACATGGATTGTAAGCTCCCCACCTCCTGTACCCAGCTTTGAGCCAGAGAAGCTGGAGCAGGCTGGTCACCAGGGGAGGGAGTTCTGTACAGACCCCGCCTAGTCTCCCCCCCAGTACTGGGGTTAGGGTCCCCAAAGCAGTGCTGCTTTGTAACCCCCCCCCACACACACACACACACACACACCTGGAAGAGGCAGCGGTGTCCCTGCTCCTGCTTTTTGTCTCTGGTGGGGGCTGAAGGAGGTTAGGGATCAAGACCTGGCACCAACCAGGGTTCAAGAAAGGGAAGGGTGCTTTGTAGTTGCTGACTTGGGCCTTGCACCCCTGCATGTAGAGAGGTCAGTCTTGGAGGCGGAGCCTAAGACCCCACAGTGCAGCAGCATTCTCTCAGCCTCTGCCCAGCTGTTTCCAGCTTCGGCTACAGTGGAGTCAGGGCTCTGTCTGCTGCGGGGCATTTTGCCGGGCTCTGACCACCAGAAGGGGTGTAAGGGCCACTGCTGCCCTTCATCTAGGTTCAGGTATGAGACAGGCCAATCCTCTAAGCTACAGTTTAACTGGTTTGTCTAGATTCTTCCCTGAGATCTTAACTGAGGAAGGAGAGGCGCCTGGCAGTGCCTTCCTCTGGCCACTGCGAGAACGAACGGGTCAGGCCCTCACTCCCAGCCATGGCTCCTGGGACTGACATACATGAAACTCTTCCTTCCATTTCTAGAAAGAGGAGAGAGGGGGACAGAGTGGAGTGGAAGCCTCTCTCCGGAGATGGACAGAGGGAGAAATGTGCTCTATGGGTGACTGGGCTGTTGGCGAGGTCCTGACGGAGCCCTCATGCCAGACGTTTCCACAGGAACTTCTCCCCAGCGTGGCCACTTCATGTCAGAGCGCCCTAACAGGCAGAAATGGTGCTTCGTCCCCTTTTGCAGTGGGGAAAACTGAAGCCAGCAGAGGAAAAGCGCTCACCCTTAGCACTGCTAGCAAGAGGCAGCACTAGGGCCCTTTCCTCAGCCCTGATAGCGCGGTTCATGTGGCATGCCTGCGTCCTGCTGTCTCCCACTTCGAAGGCCCTGTACCTGCTCGGCTTCTCTCTAGTAGAATGCTGGTGCCTGCAGCGTTTATCTTCTTTCTTCCTGTGGGCAGTGTGACTTGACCTTCACAGCCCTGCCAGTCTACTTCCTTTGCTCTTGTCCACGGGAACCTTGCTCTTATCAGTGTCTCAGATTTGAACTAACTTGTATTTTTTACAGTGTGCTACACACAAGCTCTGCCTCTCAATTCACCCTCTCTAGAAAAATCTAGTGTAACAATATATGACAACTATCTGTCTGTTTCTCCTTCTCTCTCCCCGTCTCCTTTCTTCCTCTCCTGCCCCAGCCCCGTCTCAAAAGAAGAGCTTATCTCCATCCCAGAATTTTCCCCAGTGAGTGAAATGATTCCTGGGGTGTCTCTGGACCAAAACGGAACTGGTCATGCCCGGGCACTTCAAGATCTCTTAGATTTCACCGGCCCCCCCATGTTTCCCAAGAGATCCAGTGAAAATCTCAGCCTGGATGACTGTAACAAAAACCTGATCGAAGGATTTAACAGTCCTGGCCAAGAAAATACTTTGAACACCTTCTGTTGACAAATACAGCATCACTTTAATGAAAGGTACAGATTTTTGATGCTAGTGTAATCATTAACTCTCCGATTTTGAAGATAGGTTACACAACACTCAGCCTCCTGGGTGGTTGCATTTGTTTGAGAGTGTAAACATAAGTGTATTGTATACTACAGCACACATAAGAATTAAGATGATTTCAAATAAATCCTTCAAATGAGGCCGCTCAACCGCTCCCTGCTGGCCATGCGAGCTGTGTAGGTGGGCAGGGCAAGCGCCTGGCTAAAGGCCACAGCCCCCTGTCTCAGTAGCACCTTTCTTAGAGGCCAGGGGGGAGCGCTCTGACATTGTTGCAAGGGGGGGGGTCAATATTCTGCCCATGTTTTACCCAGTGACATCCCAGTTTTGTCTGGAATTGTTTGTATACAGTGGTGAGCCTTAGGCCAAAAGATTGCTGTTCTGTTGACCTGGTCTCGATCCTTTCAAAGTCAGTGTCTTTTCTTGGATCACAGCTGAGGGAATGGGGAAGGGAAGAACTGCAGCTGTGTCCTGAAGCCCCCGCAACCACCACCTTTTGCCTTTTTTCTTCCCAAAGTGCTTCTAGAAGCTCTTCTTACGTAAGTCATGTCTAGGAGTTAACAGCCTTCTGCATTTATGTGCAGGTAGTTATGTACACCTCACACTTGATTTACTTCTGTTTGGGGCTTGTTTTTGAGTGGTGAAAACATAACTTAATGATTCCAAGTTCTCCTCCCATCTCATACTCTTTAAAAAGTTTTTAATGTTCTCAGCGTTCTCGCAGTCATTTTATTTTTTTATGATGCTGCACTCCTGTAACGGAACGTCAGTGCCAGGTGTGACTTAGTCCAACCTCTCCATTTCTCGAATGAGGAGATAGGTTGGGGCCACACGACCTGTTTAGTATACTCGTTTCTGCCTGACTTCAGCTGTTTCCTAGAGACAACACATTTGGGAGTTTACATCTTTCCTTCCTCTTGGGAAAGTCGGTGTGGTGATCCCTTTACAAGTAAGAGGAAATGCCTGGCAGATGATTTCCAGAATAAACTGTGGCGCTGATTAGGAAAATCAGCTGCTAAACCCTGGATGGACACAGACAGCACACAGCTCACTAGAGTATTCTGGCTCCCTGACAGTTACGTGGCTTGAGATGCATGAGGGGTTTCCTTTATTGTTCGCATTCCTTGAGCCCTTCAGTTCACTAAGCTCACAGTCAGCTCAGGAGCGGCAGATCCACCAAACTCGGAGTATCCATGACACTGCAGATCTGCTTCCCACATCTCTAAAAGTGGAAAATCCCCATCCAAAAGGGGAAAAAATGTGTTGGCTAAATAATTCCTCTCACACTGCTTATGCATTTTCATTTGCCATTAGAGTCTGGTTCTCAACCAAAAGTGGGGGACGTTTGGAAGTGTGTTGGGTGTTTTGTTGCCACAAAGGGCAGGTAGGCATTGGCTCTCAGGACACTGCATACGGTGCGGCCTGCCGCCGATGAGGGAACGTGCGGCCGCGCAAAGTGAAAGAAGCTGGGAGGTAGAGTGCCCTGCTGTGTCATCGTTTTAGTGAGAGAGAAGGGGCACTACAAACTGGAAACCACAGTCTCTTCGTTGCTCTTACCTGTTTTGTTTTTGAATTGACACAGGTGTTTGGAGCACCCATGAAGCTGCTGGTAGTCAGATCGGCTGCCAGCTCTCTGAAGAAGCTTCCATCGTCTTTACCCACTGGATTGCAATTTATTAGAGCGAAATGTAACTGCATTCTTAGTTAGTAGGTCACACACTGGCCGCTCTTGGTAGAAACCTTGAGGTGTCGGCTTTGTCCGGCTTTAGCGAAGTTTCATGTTCTGGTTCTATTTATGAGCTTCAGCTGCTGATGAAGCGCTTCCTGTGCTGCTCTAGTATCCTAGTGACCCTCCGCGTAACGGAGTGACTCTGGCCTGGACCTTAGAAGCATCCTTATTCCCAAAGGTGGAGCATATAAACATTTAGCTGTCTTTTCTTGTAAATATGCTAGGCATTCACCCAGACTCTACCTAAATACATCCTGAACTTGGGCTCATAGCTCCTGTTTTTATGTAGAATGACAAATCCAGAAGGGTTCCCCTCTGGGGCTTCTCTGATGGAAGTTCCTGCGAAGAAACTGTTTTTTATTACACCTAGCTACCTGCAAGACATGTCGCCCCATGTTACTCGGGGTGGGGGGGCGGGTGAAGGGCTAAAGGATGATGTCTAGTTGAGGAAGGAAGCCATTAAACAGTGGGTAAAGTTCTTAGCATATTTTTCTACAAATGGGCACCGGACTCGAGCAAGGAGCTTTGCATGTTGCAGCGCAGAGGCTGCAGGCTGTAGTCATGGAAGCCATGCAGGCTGCTGGACCGACTGAAGCGGCGCTCACGCACAGGTGGTCGAGTCTCAAGTTGGTGGTGATGGCTTTTCTCTTGGGTCTGGGAGGTGAGGGGCTTTTGTTTGGTTACACCTGTGTTGCTCAACTCTGATGAAGCCAGGCGCCAATGAAGTAAGATTCCCGAACTGGATCCAGTGTGTCACTTGAATGGACTTGAACTTAAAGAACATCCAAATGGGGGACATGACGCCAGAACGTATTTTCCACGCATTCCATGCTGTGTAGCAGTGTCCTCTTAATTTCTTGTGGGGAAATGAGACTTCCAGATCAACATGACCCTTCTTTGATTTTTTTTCCAGCTATTACAATAGGGAGCTTAGAAAGATCTGTAATTCTGAGAGATTTGCAACCAGAAGACATAAAGAAGTAATCAGTAGTAATTTTTTGCTTTTAAAACCAGCTACAGTTTAACTGTTATGGAAGCTGTATGTTTGTGTCTGTGTATATACTAAATAAAATTGTCTCCAATGCCATGTGCCATGGATCTTGATGCCTATAGAGGGGAGATCCTTTACATGCTAAGCACACAGAAAATGATCGCATGTTCTGATTTTAAAGTAATGCCTCACCGTCTCACTTGGCTTCACTTAGTGTCTGTCTGTCGTGGTCTGTTGCCGCTGCAGCTGTGCTGATGCCCACTTGCATGACGTGTCCATTGTGTTGAACGTGAAATACACTTTCATGGAAGAATCTGAGGGTGTGCTAGAGTTTTGTTTGTTTTCCTAGGCTCAGTGAAGAGTTTTAAAAACCTATATGGAAAAAAACAAACCAAACCAAAGTTATGTGAGAAATAGGATTTAGAATGTAAGCAACGATTAGGGACAGACCCAAGCGATGAGTGAATTTAATGTGTGACAGGCCGGAGGGTGGACCATTTGTACTTGAAGAAAGATAGCACGAGCTTTCCGTTTCTGGAGGGTTGGCTGAGTTGAGCATCTCTGACAGCTTGGAGAGAAAGGGCCCAGAAGCCAGTAAGGAAATGAAACAGGCAGGAGTGGAGCCCAAAGGTGAGTACCAAGTACAACCCAAGGGTTAAGTCGGAAAAGTTGAAGTGCAAGACTTGGGAGTGACCTCTCAGGCTCCTGGACTGCCAGGCGTGGGCTGGGCTATGATCTCAGAAGTGGAAGCCGGAGCCTCTCAGCGGTGTTTGAAGCCTCTGCGGGAGTGGAACGCAGCAGCTGGTGTGTTCAGGGTCCTGCCGAGCCCAGTGTGGCCCTGGGACTTCTTCAGCCTATGAGGTGGGTAGGTAGGGGCAGGTATTGCCCCAAGGACACAGAACTGGAACTTGGCAAAGCTGGCTTTGACTCCCCAGGGTTGGGGCTTTGGCACTCTGACAGGAATTGCAGGCGTTTCTGCCCTCAAGAAGACCAGACGTGCTTGTGCTAACGCCAGTGCTCGCAACCGACAAGAAGCAGTGTGCCCGTGGCGAATCCGAGTGTGCTCTTCAAAGAAAACATTAGAAAATAATTTTTCAAACTCAAGGTATCATTTATATATATATCATAAAAATACCCCTTTTTAAAGTACACAACTCCAACTTGGGCATTTTCACAAGATGGTGCCACCATCGCCACTTTGTAATTCTAGAATGTTTCATCTGAGTGTGCTTTTGTCTTCCATTTGTCTACTCGAAGCAGCAGAGCTTGACTTTATCATTACTCAAGTTCCCGTTGCACCTGGAGGCCAGAACATGGAGTTACAAAAGTCCTCTCTAAACCAATCATTTCCCTTTGCCACCTTCTAGTAGATCACATGAGGGTGGTGTATGAACATAGTTCATGTGGGCTGCTAAGTGGTGGGCCCATTGTCTGCCTAGATCCAGGTCGGTCCAGATACGGGCCTTGATGTCTGAGAGAGAAGACATGGAGCAGGTGAAACTGACTTTAAAGGTTTAGAAAGTGCTGCACCTTTGGGGAGGTACCGTTAACGTGACCACCAAGTCAGGTCTGGTGGCTGTGAGGGGCTCCCTTGCCCTGGTGTCCACTGGCAGCCAGCCCGTGTTCACAGAACACAGGGAGTGTTTACACGCTGCCTTTGCTCATGTTTCTGCCCCAAAGATCCAGGTCAGCAGTGGGCACTGCACTGTGGAGGGTTCTCCCCTTCTACAGCCCAGTCTAAGGGCACCTGGCTAAAGGTCAAGGGAATCGATAAACTTCAGGTGTTACATCTGGGGAGTTTGTTTCCCTCCTCCCTTCACACTGCAGTAAGTACTTGAGAAGCTTCTGTGTGGCAGTGAGAAAATGCCATCGTTTAATCTGAATTGGAGGTTGGTATTGGGAGAAAATTCTAAAGTGGCCAGCCTCCAGGACTTGAAAAAATTTTTCAGGAAATTAAGGCCGTCTTTCCCCATCTTACCTTATCTCAGGAAATGCACAATACAAGGGATCAAACCATCGTATAAAGTGACTTGGAATTAGAGGCAGCAGCTCTGGTCGTTGTGTTATCGTCACATTTTCCGGTTTTGTGTGCAGGTTTATCTTTGAAAGAACCCAAGATTGTCAGCCAAGGGGAGGGTTAGGAGGAGGCTAGACCTGCAGAGAGCTTCTTGGATCTTATGAAGCCCCCACACTGGGGCTCCTAGGTGATTTCCAAACAAACTGGATCTTACCGATGCCGTGGACAAATTCCCTTTGCTCAGTGCACTTGGCCTTCTGAAGTTTCTCCACAGACTCCCTGTGGGGTTAGAGCCCGGATGGCTGGTTTGAGATGTTCAGTGTTGAAGATGGTAAGAGATCACCAAGAATGTGGAAGTAAGGTCAAAAGTGAACCGCATGCCCCCGAAGGCCCCACCAGAGCACGGGCTTAAGGCTGCCTGGGGAGGTGACTTCCTGTGACTGGCCTTGCCCATGGACTCAGCCAGGCCGCAAGAGTTGCTCACTTGTAGACAAAAAGTTGCAGATATTTGTCCTGTAGAAAAGCTAACTCCAAAGGCTGTATGTATTTGCCCCTATGGGCACTAAGTTTGTATCTAACCTGGCAACTCACCCAGCATCTTGACCCCAGCAGCGCACATGTGCTGCGTCCAAGTGCTCCTAGCAGTCGGCTCCCACTGCATCCTCAATGAATCACACACATTCTTGACACTTGCTCCTTTTATACTTACTTCACAATTAAGACTTTAACCCTTGGGAAGTTCAGTTTTGGCAAGGAGAACGCTGGAAGTCTTCAGCAGACTTTGGGAAGTCTTGAACACATGACTTTGAAGGTTGGTACAGTGGGAGTGATGTGCCACCTGGACCTCCCCTTTAGGACTGAGGTATTGTCCTCCAGAGGTTGCTGTTGGCCTACCTTCCCTGACTGAAGGAGGCCGTGTTACCAAGGTTCAAACCCCCTTCACTTGGGCAGCCTGTGTCCAATGATTGGGCACTGCAGTTACACAAAGACCCTTTCTTCAATGTAGGACAATCCAGAAAGCCTGTCCCAGGCTCTTCAAGGCCTTTGTTTAGACCGCTCTACAGCCCAGGTCTTCCACCTCCTCCCTCCCCCACCCAGCACTCTATGCACTTCTGGCCTGCGTCCCGTCTGTCTTTTCCTGGACCACGGGACCTGGGGCAGATAGGTGATGTGCTAAGGGTGTTCACGCGTTCTCTCTCTAAACTTTAAGGAATATCTGAGGTAAAGCACTGTTGCTGTGCTTGAGGGTCAAGGCTGGTGAAGATGCTTATCCAAGGTCAAGTACTGCTAGGAAGTGCAGAGCTGAGCTCCACACCAGAGGCTTGCTTGGGAGCCTGGGCTTACCCTGGCCACTCTCCACACCCCCAGTTTGGGCCTGGGAAAAGCACACAAGAAGCAGCACTGGAGACACTCTCCAGTCTGCAGTCTCCTGGTTATATTTGCACGTTTCCTAAATGAGCTCCTCAATCATCTCCCCTTGCCACAAATTGTTGCTGACTTTGTGCATCCCTGTGAATCTTCTGCTGAGGGCAGGTGATCTCCAGCCAGCTGGACACTGCATCTCCAACTGGGGCTTCTTTCCTTATACAAAAGGAAACCATGTCGTGAATGCTCCTTTAAGCACCATTGTATGACTACTGACACCCTAAGCTGGGCCAGGCATTTTGCTAGGGTCAGGGATGGAGCAGAGAACAAGGTTAATGTCCTCACTTTTCCAGGAGGCCAAGGTCCAACGGGAGGCAGACAGCAGACTGATACTTGAAGTTGTTATTTATGATTGTGGCGGTGATGAGGTCAGGTTCGCTGTTACACTTTTTCATATTATTACAGTTTGTGCTGTGACATTTGTGTGATTCTTTGATTAGTGTCTGTCTCCTTCCCTAGGAGAGGGACGCACTTCCTGACAACAGGACCGCCCTGTTCCTACCACCAGCTCAGGTATGCAGTAAATATTCCTGAGTGGATAAACACATGTTTCTGAGATAATCCCTGAATTAAAATCCCACATTCTCTCATGAGATGACAGTCTTAGTGATCTGGTTTTAGTGTTTACTTTGGGATCCCCAGAACCTGTCACAGAGTAGCTCCACAAGAAATTTTATTTTTTAATGAAGTACTATTGTTTTATAGCCAATGAAATCTTTGTTGAATGATTTTTTTTACAGATTTATTTATGCATACAAGAGATGGGTTGTAGGTCGGAGGTGTGGAGGATGAGAAGATTCACCAGAGACAGTGGGGAGCAGAATTGACTGAATACACTGGGAGAAGTGGGCAAGACAGGAGAAGTCTGCTGTGTGTGCATGTGGGTCAGCTCTGGGACTGGGGATCGAACTCAGGCTGCAGTGGCTGGTAATAGTGCTGAGACTTTAACCCCTGTACCACCAGGGAGGCCCAGGCAAATGAAATTTGTAAGAGCTTAATGACTAAATTGGTGTCTAGGTTGTGCCAGGTCACAAAAGACCAGACTGCCTGTGGTATGATGAGACATGAACACTTAGTCCATCACAGACTTGGGGCTTAAGTTTCTGGTGGAGCAATGATGTAAAGTTAGGGAATACCGAACTTAAAAGATTATTTTACAGAAAAATTGGGTTGTAAACCTACCCTCCCCATTCCTTTCTGTCTTGCATTAATATAAAGAGTCCATGTCAATTCAGTTCTTTCTGGAATAATTGCTAAGTTGTGACGCACTGTTGTAAAACCACAAGTATATGACTTTGAGAACCAGGGTCAAGCCATTTTACATACTACATTATAAAAGAGCTGAGCAGCAGTAATTTATGGGACTAGAGGGCTGATAGCAACTACCACATCTCATTGAGAAAATTGTCCTCCATGTCAGCAGGAGAACAGATGTAAAGGTTGTGATGAGAATGGATTCTACACCATAAGTCTGGCTAAAAACATTCTCTTCCACACAATAGAAATCCTCTCTGTCAATGCTCTGCTGTTGACAAAACCATCTAAAACATACAGGTGAAGAAAGAACAGCATCCACACAAAAATGCCCACGTGGGATGGAAGAAAGAGGAGGAGGAAACGAGGCCGATGAAAAATTATACATCATGGTGAGAAG